TTAATCTATTTATGTCTTTGTGTCTAAGGTGTGTCTCTTGTAGATGGCATATTGATGGGTCACATTTTTTAAATTCATTCTATCACTCTCTGTCTCTTTACAGGTGCATTTAAGCCATTTACATTCAATGTGATTATCGATAGGTGTGAGTTTATTGCTGTCATTTTGTAGTGCCTTTTTTTGTGATGCTGACATTTTCTTTGTTCCTCTCACTCTTTTGTGCTGAATTCCTTGTTTGTGAAATTTCTTTCGTTTCTTTCATTATTGTAGATTTTGTGTTTACTGAGACTTTGTTTTTCTTCTTTATTTTGATGAGTATGTTAACTTTTTTGTGGTTATCTTGAAATTTACCCTTATCTTTTATTACAGTCTTTTATTACTTGATTTCACCTTGACTCCCTCTCGATTAGAAAGTTCTATATCTACACCATGTATTCCCCTTTTTGCTGTTCTGACATTGTTGTCATTTATAGATTGACATCTCTTGTTCCCTGTTCTGAATCTTTTAGTTTTGTTTTATCCTTGAGAGTTCATTACCTCGGTCATTATTTGGCTGATACTGACCTATGTCCTAGATTCCGGTTGTTGTCTCATGTTGTTGGTTCTCTAACCAAAGGACTCCCTTTGATAATTCTTGTACATTTGGTTTGGTTTTTACAAATTTCCTTAATTTCTGTTTATCTGGAAATATCTTAACTTTGCCATCATATTTGAGAGAGAACTTTGCAGGGTATATTATTCTTGGTTGGCAATTTTTTTCTTTCAAGGTTTTATGTATATCTTCCCATTGCCTTCTTGCCTGAATGGTTTCTTCTGAGTAATCAAAGCTTAGTCTTATTGCTTCCCCTTTGTATGTGACTTTTCGTTTTTCTTGAGCTGCTTTTAGGATTCTTTCTTTGCCTTTGGTTTTGTTGAGTGTGATTATGATATGTCTTGGTGACTTTCGTTTGGGGTCTATCCTACATGGAGTTCGTTGAGCTTCTTGAATGGTCAGGTTTTCATCTTTCATGATATTAGGGAAGTTTTCTATCAGCAAATCTTCAATGATCTTCTCTGTGTTTTCCATTTCCTCCACCTGTTCTGGAACTCTGATCACATGCAAATTTTTGCCCTTGATTGTATCCCACAGAGTTCTTATGTTTTCTTCATTCTTTTCTCTGATTTTTCCTCAAAGTGGCATCAATGGATTTGTCTTCAATTTTGCTTATTCTATCTTCCATTGTTTCAAATTTGATCCTAAAATCTTCTACTGCATTGTCCATTTCTAAAATTTTGTTGTTTATCATTTGAATTCCTAATTTCTGTTTTTGTATGACTTCTAATTGTTTATTTATTTTGATATTTTATTCTTGTATTACTTTTCTGAATTCTTCTTTTGCTTTGCCTGTGTTTCCCTTGATTTTGGCTATGTTTTGGTTGTTTTTGTCTGCATTTTCCTTGATCTTTTCCCTAATCTCTTGGAGAACCCTGAATATTAGACTTTTGAATTCCCTCTCAGATAGTTCCATTGCCTTTTCTTCTGCTGGAAGGTAAACTGCTGTTTTATTCTGGTTGCTTACTGGAGCCATCTTGTCCTGTTTTTTTTTTTTTTTTAATGTTTTGATACTGTCTGCGTCTCCAAGACATTCAGGTTTTATTTTATTTATTTATTTATTGTAGGTTTGTTTTGTTTGCTTATGTCTGGGCATGCTTTGTTGCTTGCTCGTTTGTGGGCATGATAGTTCTACCACATTGTCCTGGTGTGCAGGGCCAGTTGCTCAGCTATGGTGTAGCAAGGCAGGTTCAGCAGGAAGGGAAGGGGTGGAGATAGGTCATTTGTTTGCAGCATGAACTAGACCAGGAGCTGGAATGGGGCTGCTGTGGTCTGCAGGGGGGAGGGGTCCCAAACAGTCTGCGAAGGCCCTGAGGTCTGGACTGGGTCCCCTTGGGGCTGTGGCAGGCAGCAGAAGGGGTCTGGAGCCAGCGGGAATGGGCCCGGGGTCTGGGCTGGGTCCCCTCGGGGCCATGGCGGGCAGCAGGAGGGGTCCAGAGCTGGTGGGAAGGGGCTTGGGATCCAGGTAGGGTCCCCTGGTTGCTACAGCGCATGGGGGGGAGGGATCTGGAGCGGGCAGGAAGGGGCCTGGGATCCAGGCTGGATACCCTAGGTGCCATGGCGGGTTGTGGGAGGGGTCTGGAGCCAATGGGAAGGGGCCTGGGGTCCAGGCTGGGTCTCCTCAGGGTCATGGGTGGTGGTGTGAGGGTTCTGGAGCTGGCAGGAAGGGACCTGGTGTCTGGGCCAGGTCCCCTGCATGCTGCAGCGGGCAGCAGGAGGGGTCCGGAGCCAGCAGGAAGGGGCTTAGGGTCCAGGCCCCCTCAGGACCTTGGGCAGTGGCAGAGAAGAGAGGTGGGGTGGGTGAAGGCAGGGCAGGGCAGAGAGGGCTAGATGGAGGATGACAATAGGGTGCATTGCTACTTTGATTCCTGGTAGTCAGGGTTGCCATGTTGGGACAGTTATAGCAGCTGTTCACCAGAGGGGTGGGGGTTGTAGGAGCATGCTCTTGTGGTTACCAGGTGAGAGATGCAGCCAGCAAACATGGTCTTACTTAGTCCTAGGTGTGTCCACACCGTATCTCTATCTCCTATTGGGAATTACGTGGAGGTGCCCTTCTGCGTGCGGGGGTTGTTGGCTGTATCCCAAGATGGCAACACTGAGTCATGCCGTTTGGTCAGAAACCTCCACTCCTATCTCTAGTCCCTCCTCGTTTTCTATCAGTTTCTTCTCCTCAATGACTTCCAATCTAATACTTTATCCCTTTATTTAAGGTTCAGGGTTCTAGGATTGACGTCTGTATCTTTTTTACTTGGTTTTTCGGGTCTTTGTTGCAGCAGGATTGCTAAGTGCATCTAACTAATCCACCATCTTGGCTCTGCTTCCAAGACCTATGTTTTAAAAAATGTTTTCTACTAGAGAATTATGCTGATGGTTTATAAATATAACTTATCCATATCTATCCTATAACATGGAGCCCTGGTGGCCCAGTGGTTAAGAGCTCAGCTGCTAACCAAAAGGTCAGCAGTTCGCATCTACCAGCTGCTCCTTGGAAACCCTATGGGGCAGTTCTACTCTGTTCTATAGGGTCACTATGGGGCAGAATTGACTCAACAGCAATGGGTTTGCCCTATAACATGGAGTCTCTGGGTGGTGCAAAGCAAAAGGTTGCTGGTTCAAATCCACCCAAAGGCACCTTGGAAGAAAGGCCTGGTGATATGCTTCCCAAAAAGCAGCCATTGAAAACGCTATGGAGCAAAGTTCTACTCTGACACGTATTGGGTTGCCATGAGTTGGAATTGATTCAATGGCAACTGGTACTGGTACTCTATAACACAAACAAACAAACTTCTTTGTACTTAAAATACAAATATTCGCTATGTTGATTTAAGTGTTCTAACTTGCTCCTAAATTTCTTTTCCCGAAAATGATGGCAAAAGTACTTTGTTTATTTTAACTTGACTCATCTTTCGCAACCCAGTTTAATCATTTTACAGATTTCCTTTTGAAATAAATGGGCCTTGTTAGTCAGACCAGTGGCAGACTTTTGCCATTCAATAACCTATGCAAGAGACATCTTTAGTCAAATTTGTGTATCAAATTTTCTTGTATGCTCCTTTTTTCCCTAATAAATGCAGTACTAAAGTGTTGGTACAATAGCACCTTATTAATTCAAAGGGAATAATGCCAACATGACCATAAAATATTTGAATTACAGAAATATATTTAGAGAAATCTATTTTATTACTTTCAAGTACATATCATAGACTAAGGTACAAATGTCTACTAATAAAAGGAAAAAAGTAAATAAAATTTTTTTCTAGTGACCATAAAATATCATAAAAATAAAATTAATGAAAAATCTTAAAGATAATGTTTGATTTCATTTTAAATTGATTAGTAGACTCAGTTCTTAAAGTTTGATTTCATTTTAAATTGATTACTAGACTCAGTTGTTATAGGAAGATTTCTTGATTCTTATATTAAAATTATGAAAATCTTTATTGAATCATAAGAGGCTTTTTTTTTAAAGAAAGATATGCTATGTCTGAATGAATGCAATTTTGAATTAGTGATGTATGAATTAATAAGTATTGGAAGATATCTGGAAACCCTGGTGGCATAGTAGTTAAGTGCTATGGCTGCTAACCAAAACGTTGGCAGTTCAAATCCACCAGGCACTCCTCAGAAACTCTACGGGGCAGTTCTACTCTGACCTATAGTGTCGCTATGAGTTGAAATCTACTCGACAGCAACGGCTTTGGTGGGTTTTTTGGAAGATAGCTATTCCCTCCTCTAAGTATTTGATTGGTTCCTTATTTCCTAGAGAATGATGCCCAGAATTCTTAGTATGGTAATTTTATTGCCAGTCACAATCTTTTTTCTACCTGATGTTCAGCTTCTCCAGACTGTGATAGATCAAAGAGCTATTCTGTAGACCCCCTTTGCAAACTTAGCTTATCCTTAAGTCATTTCCAGTGCCAAGGATCCTACCACTCAGCTTTTCTGTAAAGGACCACCTTGTGAGCCCTGTCTAAATCCAATTTATTCTAGAATTATCTTAATTTAAAATTGAATTCAGGTGGGTCTCTGTCAGTATACAGTATAGAGTAGATCTACCAGAGTTATGCCTACAGATGATACAAGGTCAATGTCTTGGGTCAAAAGAGGAAAAGCCAAAGCCAATGTGATTTACTTGTTTCTAGCTTTGAGCCATTCATCATAATGCCAAACTCCTATTTCAGAGTCCCTTTATTTATGCTAGTTGACATAAATTCCCTACCTGTATTCTCCTATAAAATATTTCTTAAGTTTATAGCTGGGCATTAAAGGGTGTTGTAGTTCCGATGGTAGTTTTTCTATTTAGAGGTCCCTCTTTCTGATATTAATGATTAACCAGAGAACTAACTTATCCAAATTCTTTAAACTCAGTTTATTCAAAAGGAGAGTAACTTCAAGAAGGTTTTATCCATGGTTTACTGCTACCTCCAGCCATGGGCCTTTTGGGTATATTTTGTTTTTTAATCTTTCTGGGGAAAAGCTGGGGACAGGAACAAACGTAAGTAGAGCAACTCATCTTCATTTTTCAGTGTATCTTAGTTGTGATGAGTGAAAAAGTAAATTCAACAGACTGTGTTAACTAGAAAATAGGTTTCTACTTTTGAAGCACCAAATGAACAGTCTGGTCTCTGAATGAGAAAGTCATGGAGGGATTTTGATTTGATGAGTGGCTAACAACATGGCAGTTTTTTATGGGATTGTTATTTATAAATATTTAAATAAATGGTTATTCGAATTTCTCTTGAAAAAAACACAAAATAAAACTTAAGATAATAAACTTTGTTGGCATTTATGGCTTATTTTTATTTGGTGCTTCGTTTTCTTTGTATTTTTTATGGACTATAGAGAGTTAAGCAAGCATTATTTTGGGTTAATTCTGATACTGTGATTTGAAAAACAATTGCGATTACTCTAGAATTTATGCACTGACTCTTCACAGTTTTAAATGTTATTATTGAAATATTATACATTTTAAACCATATCTTAAAAATAGTGATATATCTAGAAAAAATAGTTTAGTACTGAAAAGGAGCTGGAGATTATCTAACCAACCTATTCATTTTACACATGAGGAAACAAAAGTCCAGATACGGCAAGTGTCTTGCGAAAGTTCACACAGCTAGGGAGAGACAGAAGCAGGAGTGGTATTAAGATCTCCTTTTTCCCACTTTTTTTCTTTTATTTCATCATAAATTTATACATATAAATATACATTAAATATAAACGTATACTTAGGATGTCATAATTTTTTAGCACAGTCCCATCCCCAATCTTTTTAATCACATGGTCATAATTACCCTATTACCTTAGATAGTTTTTATTTATTCCAATTTGAAAGACAGCAGCCAAATCTCAGAAAGGTTGAGATCAAGTGACTTCAAATTAGTGGTAGAACTATGACTAGAAGCTGGGTCTCATGATTCTTGTCCAGTTATTCTGAATTCTTTCTACTGCACTGTACTGGCCCTTAGTAAGCATCTCCTCACTCTCTCTGAAAAAGTGAGAGTGTACTGTTGATAACATGGTAATTAATCAATCACTCAATATATTCAACCAATATTTATTGAGCACCTACCATGTGACAGGCACCAGGGATATAGCAATTGATAAAACATAATTCCTAGAGCTTGCGCTCTAGTGGGAAAAGCAAACAATGAATGAATGAATGAGGTCAAGTAGTTAGTGCTATGAACGAAAAAATAAAGGAGAGTAAGAGGATACAGAAATGGTGAGGTGCTATTTAATGGTGTGGACAGGGAAGGCTTCACTGAGGAGGTGATACTCAAACAAAACCTGAAGGAAGTAAAGGAACAAGCTATGCAAATATCTGTAGAAAAAACATTCCAGCCTCTCTGCAAACTCAGTGGCCTGACCCATCTGCAGTTACTGAAAGAAATTAAGAAAAGTACACAATTCTTCATATGGATAGATTGTGCTACTGACAAGTCAATAAGGCACAATATCTGTATGAAGGGTGGTTACAGAGCCATCTTTTAGAAGCCCCCAAAGACTGGATGTTTTGTCTCCCTCCCACCACCCCTCCCCACCACCATGTAGATAATTCAAAATTAAAATAATACCAAACTGAAAAACACAAAACTCCTAAGACAATAAAGTTAAAATAACTTTGTTCTAGATTTTTCTGGTGGCAAAATTTTTGATAAATTCTGTATAATACAGGAGTTGAAAGTGTTAATTCTGGAAATAGCCTGCTTGGGTTCAATTCCTAGTTTTATAATTATTAGCTGTGTGGCCTTGGGCAAGTTAATTAGCAGTTTCCTCATTTATAAAATGGGCAAAATAATAAAGCTCCTCATTGAGTATAACAACACAATGAGTGTGTATTATATATGTATATATAGAGAGAGCACCGGCGGTGCAGTAGTTAAGAGCTCGGCTGCTAACCAAGTAGCCGACAGTTCGAATCCACCAGCTGCTCCTTGGAAACCCTATGAGACAGTTCTGCTCTATCCTATAGGGTCATTATGAGTCGGAATTGACTCACCGGCAATAGGTTTGGTTTTTGGCGGCGCAATGGTTAAGCACTGGGCTGCTAACTAACATACTAGTGATTCAAACCCACCCAGCGCCTCCACAGGAGAAAAGACCTGGCAATCTGCTCCCACAAGGATTTACAGCCTAAGAAACCACATGAGGCAGTTCTACCAGCTGCTCCATGGAAACCCTATGAGACAGTTCTACCCTATCCTATAGGGTCTCTATGAGTCAGAATTGACTCAACAGCACAGAACAACATATATATGTATATACACATAGTGTTTAGAACATGCCTAGCACATAGTAAGGTTTCAGTAAATGTATCTTACAATTATGAAAGCTGAACTTTTCGCATTTTCAGCTGTCACCTGCTGAGCAGTGGCTGGAAGTCTGGAGATACTTTTCTCACTTTAACAATTTGCCTATAAGTGGTTCCAAATTAGGTGTCATGTAGGGGAACTGCCAGATGCTTTGAAGGATTTAATTGCTTCCAAATTAATTTCATTGTTACTAAATATTTGTTGCTTTTTAAAGACTTTTTAAATGTCGTAGGTTGACAGAAGCCTGCAACAATTCTTCCAGATGGGGTGGGGGGTGCACCCCAAGCCTGTCTGGCCACTTGAATTACTCAGTCACTAAGCTCATTGGAAACCCTATGGGGCAGCTCTACTCTGTCCTATAGGGTCGCTGTGAGTCGGAATCGACTCGATGGCAACAGGTTTTTGTAAGCTCTCTTGGGTTGATTTGCACTTCTTTTTCTATGTAATCTCACTGCTCAAATTAGGTACTTTTATGGTATATAATTAACACCCTAGTTTATTTTTATAAGTTTTCATTCAATAAAACAAACAGAGCCCTACTGGCAAAAAATCACACATTTAAAAATTTGTATTTCAGAAACTTAAGTAGATTCACCCCCTTTCTTGTATAAATCACACGAAAAATAGAAGTAAGGAAACACTCTATGGTTGGGAATAAAACTTGTAACCTTGACCTCAATTACACACATAACAACTGAGAGAGACCTGAATATAAAGCCCTGCCTCAATCACTTACTTACAAGCCCTGTAGCCTTGGTCAAACTGATCTCTCATTATCTGTGCAGTAGGAAGAGTAAAATACATAATCATTGGCTTGTTGTAAAGATGGAAAAGTTGTATGTAAAGTGCTAACACAATCTCTGATATATGGCATCTACTCAATTAGTATTAGTTATTATTAAGTTGTTGTATGATTATTATTATTCAATCTTCAAGGACCTCCATCACTACTTCCACTTCCAAATGAATCCCTCCATCTCACTTGTATTCTATCCTTTTCTTTATCCACATGCTAGAATGACACATACTTCTAAGATTACCTCCTTTCAACTAATTTAGTGAAAAGAATCTTCACATTTATTGAGTACTAGGTGTGCTAAGCACTTTCATTTTCTTGTTTAATTCTTAAAACAGCCTGGTAGAGAAAGTGATATTTTCACAGGTAAGCTATTTTATCCTGAGAGAGGGTTAGTGACTTTACTGTGGTCACTCAAGCAGCAAATGTTGCTGTTTATCTCATTGGGAAAAATATTGACCCTGTTTACATGTGCCACTCAACGCCATTAAAAATCTTCCCTAGCTGCAGTAGTTCTGGGAAGATACTATTACCATTTCAAATGTAGACTAAACCTCCAGCTCTATTACTCAGGTCTCAGTTCCAAGCTTATTTCTTCTTAGAAACTATGCTAAAATTATCATAGATCCCAAATAAATTTTGATATAAAAATATAATGTTAAGTTGAAGTATTTTACCTGGATCCACAATAACCCCCATGGAAGCTGCAGTCAAGAAATCAAACGACATATCAAATGAACATATTACATTGGGCAAATCTGCTGCAAAAGACCTCTTTAAAGTATTGAAAAGCAAAGACGTCATTTTGAGGACTAAGGTGTGCCTGACCCAAGCCATGGTATTTTCAGTCTCCTCATATGCGTGTGAAAGCTGGACAATGAATAAGGGAGACCAAAGAAGAATTGATGCCTTTGAGTTATAGTGTTGACAAAGAATGTTAAATATACCGTGGAGTGCCAGAAGAATGAACAAATCTGCCTTGGAAGAAGTACAGCCAGGATGCTCCTTAGAGGCAAAGATGGCGAGACTTCATCTCACATACTTTGGCCATGTTGTCAGGAGGGACCAGTCCCTGGATAAGGACATCATGCTTGATAGAGGGTCAATGAAAAAGAGGAAGACCCTCAACGAGGTGGATTGACACAGTGGCTGCAACAATGAGCTCAAACATAGCAATGATTGTGAGGATAGCACAGGACCAGGCAGTGTTTCATTCTGTTATTTATAGGGTCACTATGAATCGGAACTGACTCGATGGCACCTAACAACAAAAAGTTCAAATAACATATCTATTTTAAATTGAATCTCTCAAGAGAGAGAAAAAATGTCAGCAGTATAAGAAAATATGTTGTGTAAAGACACTGATACTTCTCTCTTTCTTTTTCAACAGGTATGTCATTTCAGCACCAAAACTATTTCGTGTTGGAGGATCTGAAAATGTTGTAATTCAAGTTTATGGATACACAGAAGCATTTGATGCAACAATCTCTATTAAAAGTTACCCAGATAAGAAATTTCAATACTCTTCAGGCTATGTTCATTTATCTCCAGAAAATAAATTCCAAAACTCTGCAATCTTAACAGTATGTATTTATCCTTCATTTTCTTTATGTATGTATACAGAATATTATCAGGAAAATATTTGCAAAATTTGAATATTGATAAAATAGAAATTTGGTCATTTACACCACTATACCACTATGTGATTATTAGATGATGTCAGTCCGTAATGATAATCTGGGTGAAACAGAAAATTATAAATAGAATTATGGCTGATTTTTGAGCAATGCATGTAAATTTTCAGCAGTGCATGTCAGTCAGTAATGATAATCTGGGTGAAACAGGAAATTATAAGTAGAATTGTGGCTGCTTTTTGAGCAATGCATGTAAATTTTAAGTTCTTATTCGAAAGTAAAGTCTTATTAAGGTGGAAATATTTGGAGATGAATTGAAAATACTTGTTTACTGTGAAAATTCTAGTTGCAAAGAAATAGAGAAATGTGAATTATGCCTATTGCACTGCCCACAAAAACCCATTGATGCTACTGACCATTTGTTTAAACTCTAGTATTGTACAATTAGAGCTTCTAATTGATTACTAAATAAAGTTATTTATTACTAAAGTGAATAGTTCTCATTGACAACCTGTAGTTAATAGAAAGAAAGCCTGGAACAAACAACCTTTGTTTCTATGGAGACATTATGGTATAGATTGATTAGAAAAGTGCTCACAACTCATTTCTTATTAAAAATTCTGATGCTGAGTTAAATTTTTTTAATTACAAAAATTTCCATACTAAGTTTACTGTTTATTCTCCTAAGTGAATATATACAACCAAAAAATATAATTTTGAATTCCAATATAAATTCAAAAGTCAAAGAATATCAGACTTGGAAGGGGATATAGGGTTCATTCAGACAAGTGTTTCTCTAAACCAAGTTCTTTATAAAGAAATTAAAATTCAAAATTTTGTAGAGCTTAAAATTTGGATTTTATTGATTTTGTAGCTTTATTAGAATTTCTTTTATAAATTTGTTTTGATTTTATAGTTATGTAAAACTCATAAGCATAAGAAGTTTATACGTAGTTTTAGGTTTGTATGGTTTTAAGAAACATTGCAATAAAAATAATTTAAATCAAAACTGAGGTTCTACTAGAAACTTTTTCCCTTTGAAGTCTGAGAAACACTGATGTAAATAAGTTCTAGCCAAACATAGGAATTCTTTCATTAATGTTCTTGATAATAAATGCTCTAATCTCTTAACAAATACTTCCACTTATTTGGTTTATTAAAATTTAAAATTATTTTCCCAAAAGCGTTACTTTCAGGAGATTCTCTCTTATCTGCTATGACAGGGCCTAGTAGTTGCCTGCAGGGTAGCCACTAGCCACTTAAGGCTGTTTATATTTAAATTTAATCAAAATTAAGAATTCAGTTCCTTAGTCAAACCAACCACATTTCAAGTGCTCAATAGCCATATGTGGCTAGTGGCTACCATATTGCACAGCACAGATAACATTTCCATCATCCCAGAAAGTTATATTGCACAGGCTGAGTTAGATGTTTAATTTAAAAAGTAGATTAAGTTGGGGAATCATAAAAATTGATGCATATATTAAGCATTTCATTGTATCTTAGCATTATAATGCATATTGATTTGCTAATTGTTTGATATTAGTTCAATATCTTTTCTTTAAGTATGAGTGCACTGGTTGGAGCTTTAAGTGTTATTTATTACATAAGTTGCACCTTAACAACACATATTTGTTTTGCAATTTCTGTTTCTTTAAAGTTTCTTGAAAGTATTTATAGATATTTGCAAAGTAATCTGAGTGCAGAATCTTTATAGTTTCTTATCTAAAGTTTTGTAGTAATCTCACTTACATCTAATTCCATAGCAATTGGTTTATTGATTAACTTTTATCCTGTGTTTCCAAAGCCTGCAACGAAGTTTTCATAGGGACACTTCTTTTTCTTTTGTTATTTTTTATGTATTAAATGTTCAATTATTTAATGTAAAGTAGATAATTACAATCACATACACAAACTGGGAACAACACAGCTAATTCTTGGAAAGCACGCAGCTCAACCCATGGGAGCAGAACTATGTAGGTGTATTACACATGTTCTGAGCATCAGTCAGGTTGCTGTACTGAGGGACTGGAGAGCACGGGGTAGTCCAGTGAGCTGATTAAGTGAAAATTTGTTAAAAGAATGTATGTATTAGTTTTACTAAATACATACATACTCATATATATAGTATATACATATATAGTAAAATCTGCACAAGCCAGAAACTGTGTAAGGTGGAAACCTGTCAGAGAAGGAAAACTCAAGATATTTTCCACTAAAATGAGCGATAGAAAAGTGGTAAGACTGCACCCTGTCAAAGGCAGGAAACTTGCAAGACCTGGGAAAACAAGGCAGTCCCATGAAGTTCTGGCTCTCACAGCTTTCACTGTATATATGTACAATTTGGGAAACATGCAACCAAAAAGGCTTTTAATTGCTGAAGCTAAATTTTTGTTATGATATTAAGACACTGAAGGGCTTTGAGCAAAATTTATTTACCACTGTAGTTTCTGTAGGAGTCCCTGGGTAGTACAAACAATTAATGCACTTGACTACTAACCAAAAGGTTAGATGGTCAAATCCACCCAGAGGCACTAGGAAGAAAGGTCTGGTGATCTACTTCCAAAATACCAGCCATTGAAAATTCTGTGGAGCACACTTCTACTCTGACGCACTCGGGGTCACCATGAGTTGGAGTCAATTCAATGGCAACTGGTAGTTCCTGTACCACTTTTTAAATGATTAGCTACACATAATCATTTTTTATTGCAATGAGATTACAGTGGTATTTAGAAAGCCAACATATTTTATTACATTAAAATTACTCTTTTCCATCAACATTTTCTTTTATAGATACAGCCCAAACAATTACCTGAAGGCCAAAATCCAGTTTCATATGTGTATCTGGATGTGGTAGCAAAGCATTTTTCAAAATCAAAAAAAGTGCCAATAACCTATGACAATGGATTTCTCTTCATTCATACAGACAAACCCGTTTACACTCCGGACCAGTCAGGTAGAGTATAAGATACTTCTTTCTCCATGGGGAAAAAAATTGACACTATATCGTATAACTTTTTAACACCTGAAATTAAGTAGACAAAGGTTTTCAACTTGCTCAAAAAAACCTCAGTTCCCAGTGACTTTTAAACTTGTAAATAACATCCTAATTTTAAACTTATATGGAAATTGACAAATTGCAAAATCAACAATTATATTATCTGCCCCATCTGTTGTTTCCAAGTAGAAAAAGATTTTTAAAAACTATAAAATGTTGTGCTATGTCTTATTTATTAAACAAATATAAGAACTTAATTGCAAAAACAATCTTGGCAATGGGAAAATAATTTATTATAGAGCAATTTATATATTTAAAAAAGTTCATTGACTTTGGAGCTAATCTCCAAATTTAGAAAACAAATCCAACTCTAGAGGATCAAAAACAGATGTTTTAGCAAAGAATAAACTAGATCACAGAAATATATAGATACTAATTTTCCAAGGGAATCCACCTAAGAAAGATTCTGTTAAAACCATGTCCCATATTAATAGTTCTGTTTTTAGAGGGGAAAAGTGCAGGATAGTCACTAAAAACACTGTGATTGAGGAATGGCTGGAATTGTTCCCAATGTACCAAAAGTAAAATACAGAAAAGTGTCAATGCTGCCCAAATATGTTCATGCGTTTGCAAAAACTTCAATTGCCCATTTCTCCCTTTTACCATCATTGCCTTTTGAGCAATGATAGGATTAGGAGTGAAGAGTGTGTGGGGAGGGAGGAATGTGGCAAGAGGCAATTTGGAGAGGTTATGGAGTTTCAGTCAAGATATTCCTACTGAAGAAAAGAGGGAGGCAGGGAGGACCAGCCAGGTTTGTTGAAAAGCTTTGAACACAGCAGATTCTCGTTAAATGTTGGTTGATGTAGATGATAACAGTAGTGGGATGGAATCAGGCTACACCATTATCATTTCATCAGAAGTACCTGTTATGATCACCTCAGAAAGGCCTAGAGAGGGTAGAGATATTGCCACCAGTTTGGACAGAATGTCATTGCCAGAATAGTCCCATCTCCTTGACTTCAAGAAGATGACTTCGTATATAAGAAAACACTCTGCCCATGAGACTTGAGTACTTTTGAACATAATCATATCTAGCAATAGTGAATCCTCACTCTTTTCCTCCTCCTGTAGTGTAGGATGCTTCATTAATGGGATCCTGTTGACACTACCTCTGTCAACATTAGGGTCCTCTGTCTTTGTCCAATAAAGAGTCTGATACCTAGGGCCTGAGGCCTTTCTTAACTATTAAGGCTTTCCTTAAGAACTGCCTCATTTACTATGTCTCTATCAGGACTTTACTGTAAGAAGATGTGGTATTCTCATCTATTCTAACCATGGAGGAAAATTGGGGAATTTTCTCTAAATATTGTCCCCTTAATAAAAGCTAGACTCTGAAGCCAGGCTGTCTGGCTTCAAATCCCAGCTTTGGCAGTTATTAGCGAAGCATCCCTGGACAAGTTACTCAACCTCTCTGTGCCCCACTTTCCTCATTTATAAAATGGAAATAATAATAGATCTTACCTCAGACGGTTGCTGTTAGAATGAAATGAACGCATACAAGTAAACCACTTAAACAGTGTCTAACATATATAGTAAGCACTAGGAGAGTGTTTTCCATTATCATTTAATCTAACGAGTAGCACGAAGCCTTATTTACACAGAAGAAAAAGAATTACTTAAAAGTAATTTTTTGAAAAATGATTACATCTTGCTATTTATAACTCAATGTCCTGCTGGGCATACTTAATCTGAAGATCCTTAAGGGATTTTTTTTTTTAGTATAAGCATCTTTAGGATAAAGGCTTAAATCTTCAAGGCCTTCCTTATAGGATAAATGACTTTGGAATATTGGCCACAATCCTTCAATTCCACAGAGCCTGCCAGCCAACCTGACCTGTTTCCAGTTCCTTTCTCACACTATGTTCCCATCCATATTAAGGCCTGAGTAACATGCCATTACCTCTGCCCGGTACATTTTTGCCCCTCCTTTACCTTAACTCCTACTCAGCCCTTAAATGTCATTGCAGGATCCTTCCATGGTGAAACTTCCCCTTATCTCCCTGACGGTTTCAAACCTTCCTCATCTACACTCTAATAACGCCAGGCGGGTGTCCTTTGCAGCTCCTTACACCCTTGGAATTTTACATATATGTGTGTGATTATGGAACCCTGGTGGCGCAGTGGTTAAGAGCTCAGGCTGCTAACCAGAAAGGTCAGCAGTTCGAATCCACCAGCTGCCCCTTGGAAACCCGATAGGGCAGTTCCACTCTGTCCTATAGGGTTGCTATGAGTCGGAATCGGCTCGACGGCAATGGGTTTGATTTTGGGTTGTGTGATTAGGTATTTGCCTCTCTTCTCCACTCAGAAGACTTCTATGTCTGATTTGTCTCACCGCTCTATCCTAGTACCTAGCATAGTGCCTGGCACATAAAAGACACTCAATAAGTATTTTTTAAATTAATAAGCAGTATCTTTGATACAAAAATTGATTAATCTTGCCTCAGATACACCATTGCTGTGAATACAGGATTAATTTTCTAACCTAAACACAAACTGGTTTAGAAACTAGAGAGATAGTAATGGTAGAAGTAATAACAACAATAAAAAAATATAAACATTTATTGATTACCTATTATGTACCAGTCTGTGCAAAAGCTTTGTCTCATTCAGTTTTCGTAACAGCACTATAAAGCAGATACTAGCACTCCTGTGTTACAGATGAGGTAACTAAGGCTTATAGCGATTAGGTATGTATCCTGCTCAGGGTCACACTAGGTAGTGGCAGAGGCAAGAGTGAAATCAAATTTAAACTCCAGCGCCTGTGCTCTTAACCATTGGGACGTTCTGCCTCTGGAAGCTTCCCAGTGATGCTCAGGCCAGAACTGGGTTTGTCTTAAGGCAGTAGGGAGGATTCGAGGTGAGAGATGAGATGTGAGGGGAAGGGAAGAGCAGAGTGTCCAGGACTTACCAAGCATTTCCCTTTTATCTTGCGGTCTTAGTGAAATCAGTTTTAGAGAGCTTAACGTGGCTTCTTGTGTAAAGCTTTGCATGATACTCACCCTTTAAAGGGTATTGGGCTTGTGGTGCCAGTTCTATTTTATCTGGTAGGTAAAGTGCTGACCATGAAATGATTTAAGCATCACTAAAACTCTAGAGAAATTATAATACGCCTTTGGAAGGAACTGGATCAGCTTGTCTATGAGTTAAAAGCTAAACAGGTGCTTTTTATTTAAAAGGTAGGGCTCTGTTAACTGACAGAAAGAAATAGAAGAAAAATAACTGTTATTGAGCCCTACCATATACTTTTTTCTAACAATAAGAGAACAACTGTAGGATCTGGCTTAATAAATATAACAAAGCCATGCAATTCAAAACTGCCTATAGCAGCAATAAGAACTAACTTGGGATTGTGTTGGTTTCATAAGTGGAAGAGTGTATGATGTCTGAGTCAAACTACAGTAATTTTCTATTAAGATATTCAATATATTATGCTCCATAAAGCCATATAGTAGATGTCACTTTTTTGCTTCTATGAAATTCTTGATAAACAACAGCCTAATTACCAATGTAACTAATTTTGTACTGTGGGTGATTCCCAAAAAGTTATATGTAAATGTATTTTAATAAAGAGAACTGTACTTTAAATACACTAAAAGAAAATATTTAAAGGAATCTAAGAGAATTCTCCTTAAAAGAGAAGAATCTTTTGTAGAGTATATATTCACAAGCCAACTTTCTTTTTAACATGGATTTTTTGTGTATCGATTGTGTGTATGTTTTTTTATTTAAATGGGACTCATCTCTATTAAGAGTGATTATTTTAAAAATAAAAAGGCCCTTGTGTTTAGCAGTTTTTAATGATGTCAATTATTCTTACAGTAAAGGTTAGAGTTTATTCATTGAATGATGATTTGAAGCCAGCCAAAAGAGAAACTGTCTTAACCTTCGTAGTAAGTATGCTTTTTATTTAAATAATAATTTAACTCATTTTCAGGACAAGATTCAGCATTCTATAACCCTGCCTCACACTACACTAACTCATTCAATGTTTCATAAATGGCTATTGAACACCTACTCAGAGTAGAGCATCCTAGGTCTATATCTCTTCCCAACAGACATACATCAAAAGCTCATAAAAATAAAGTCTCGACAAGCTGAAGGATTTTGAACTAAGCCATTTAAATATATCCTTGGTGATTTCTTTTTTAAAGAATATCAATCACTAAGAATTAATTGAATATCTATTATGTACAGTTGGCCCTCTGTATACACAGGTTCCGCATCTGTGGATTCAACCAACCGTGGATGGAAAATATTCAGGAAAAAAAAAAAGAAGTTCCAAAAAGTAAAACTTGAATATACCTCCAGTCAAGCACTAAGCTGAATCCACTGGAATGCCGTGATGTGTAGGCATACCCTGCTGTAGCCTCCCACCATTTTGGATCCTCAGTCTCTCTCTAGCATTTGTTGTTTGAGCATTGTTCACCTCCTGTCTTGTCATTATTCCCTGAAGAATAGAGTATAACAACTATTTACATAGCATTTATGTTGTATTGGCTGTTATAAGTAATCTAGAGATGGTTTAAAGTATATGGGAGGATATGGGTAGATTATATGCAAATATTATGCAATTTTATATAAGGGACTTGAGCATCTGCAGATTTTGGTGTCCATGGGAGGTCCTGGCACCAATCTCCCGAGGATACCCAGGGACAACTGTATAAGATTTTTGATTTGTACAATTCAAGATAAAAAATAATAATCCATGGTACTTACGCTTAAGGAATTTAGAGTTTATAACTAACATACTAACAATTGGAAAAATAGTGCTAAACCATGAGGTAAAGATCATCAGCTAGCCAACATTTATCAGACATGACATAAACAACAGATGATATGCACATGTACAATAAAGTCCCATGCTCTTACCCAGTTTGCGTCACACCCCTACAAAATTTTTGTGGGAAATAAAATACTACAATTTGTCATAAGAGCATCACCTATTAACAGTAGGTATGTTAGTAATGGTTCTTCATGACAGGTTGGAACACTGTTTCTCCTGCTCAAAAAAAAAAACAAACCAAAACCTTAGAATGCAAGTGAAAACAGAGTGATGTATTAGGATAACTTTGAATCCTTTCTAACTTTCAAAAATCATAAACCTTTCACAAATTTTAAAATCTATTTTAAAATTAATTACTTGTGAAGCAGCAGGGTGTTATTGTGGTTGACAACTATTGATATAGACTGTAAACCCAGGAGTTCAGAAAAGAGAGAGCTTAGAGAGGCCAAGGGAGCCTTCAAGGAAGAGCTGGAATTTGAAGTGGGCTTGGAACAATGAGTGGAATTTAGATATGTGGTAAAGTGGGAGAATTTCTAGAAAAGGAACAAAAGAGAACAAATAGAGTGAGTGATAAGACAGAAAGAAAGGAGCCTGATTTAAGAGCAGAGGCAACCCTGGAAAGCAGAAGGAGATAAAGATTTAGAGTTAGAATAAGGCCAGAGGCTTGGATAACCAGACCTAGAAGTTAAGACTTCTACAACCTGCCACACAAAATCTTAATTATAGATTTATAGCACAGCATTAAGACAAAGAGTGGAAGTGCTGTCTCAGGAAAATTCATAGCAAAGAGCATTGCTACGATAGAAGTGAGGGAGTGTGGAGCAAGGAAAACCACTCAGGGAGGCTGTAGAAATCTAGATGCAGGGAGAGGTGATACAGGATTGGCAGCAAGAGGAATGCAGAGAGAAGCCTCACAGTATGCTAGGATGAGGGAGGTGAGGAGAGGAAGCAAGGAAGAGTGATAGAAATGAGGAAGCTGCTTCACAGAAGTAAAAATAAAATAGAATCCTGGTACCACATGATGAAGCGTGGTTGCTTGTTATCCAGTGTAAGAGCTGCCCCATAAAGAGAGGAGGCCAAGTAGACTGGGGGAGGATCTTGACGGACAGACTGAGGAATCTGATCCCAGAGTGGTAGGGAGTAGTGTGTAGAAAGTATCTTAAAAAAGATACTTGAGAGAGATCATCTTAGAAGCATTGTACAAAGTAGACTGCAGAGAATGATAACAGCTAGGAGGTTATTTAGCTATGATTCTAATTCTTGTTCAAAATAGGCCTTTGTAATTCAAGAAAAAACAAAAACCTTAAAATCCTGACCGTGGATTTCATAGTCATGGCAGATGGTGGTAAGTTTCTGAGTTAAGGCTGAAATGGTCTGCCACATGTAGTCCAAAGAAAGCTGAAACCTCATTTCAATAATTTTCAATAATTTCTAACCCAAACATAAAATGAAATTGGTGGGGAAGCTTTATGAGAACTTTCAAGATTATGTAACCATTTTGAGTGTTTTATCAAGTTCAAAATGTCCATATTGCACATTTATAAAATGTCTAGCTAAGAAATACATTTTATAGCATATTTAATTTAGGAAAATTCAAATGAACATATATAAAATTTAGATTCCGATATCTATAAAGACCACAAAATTCACATTTGGCTAATAATAACATCAGTTGTTATTTTTTATATTTTGTTACATTTCTTTTTTTCATTATTCTGAAAAGAATTACTGAGTTTCTTCTAGATAATTGAGATTAGGACACCTGGACACCGATTGAGGTGTGTTTGTGTTTTGGTGAGGCAAGACATGGGGGAGGTTTCAAAAAGAGGGAATGAAAAGGCTTAAATGAATCATATTGGCCTTCCACAACACTTAAATAATCTTCCCCCTTCATATCTAATTTGAAGATGTGGGTATTTGTTGGTAAATGTTTCTGTAGATAAAAAAAATCATATTATCAGTTAACACCTTTAAAGAATGTGGTTTCTGTGCTTTGAGGTTGTTTGTTTTTATTCAAAGGATCCCGATGGATCAGAAGTTGACCTGGTAGAAGAAAATGATTATACTGGAATTATCTCGTTTCCTGACTTCAAGATTCCACCTAATCCTAAGTATTTAGAAGTATTTGTTAATAAGGTTTTCTCTGAAAAGCACATCTGGAACTTTTGGTTGTGAAACAGATAACCAGTCAAAAGGAGCCACCTACTATTAACAAAGGGTGTCATTTCAAAAGAAATTCGACTATGCAAAATCTTTTTAAGTCTAGTGAGAAGCTAGGCTCAGTTCTGGACAGGCTCCCCCACAACCTGTACTTCTAACCATTCTTTTTTACATATAAAAATAAAAATTGGGATGAGGCAAAAATAGTCTGTAGATTTTTGTTTGTTTGTTTTTCATTAAAACCATTAACACCTCACCCCTCCAGGAATCTAAGGAACTTTTAGTCTAAAAGACTGTTGTGTGGTCCCATCCCTCACTCTGAGTGTTATAAAATATTGATCCTCTCTGGTCTGTGTCTACATAGAGTACCAGAAGGCAGAATCAAGAGGAAGGGTGTTCTTGAAGACATTTCTTCCATTTGCCCTCATGATAAATTATTTGAGAAAGTGTTTAAACAGAATTCAATGTAATAACTATTTAGCGAACATACTCCTGATACAGGTGTGAGAGATGCAAAATAGAAGTGGAGAATCCACAGTCCCTGCCTTCAGGGAATTTACAGCAGGACAGACAAGACAAATGCACCTCTAAACGGCTTCAATATGACTTTAAAACAAAATCATTTTATGGTTATATTTGCACTGTCTTCTAGTGGGGTATTTGCAGTTAATTTACTATACTGAAAATTTTCTAGAAATTTGGATGAATTGGGGAGTTAGAATAATTTGGATAATCTTAAAATTGTATACTTTCCCTTCACCTGAAGTACAATAAATAAATAAATAATTTAAAAAATTGCATACTTTCTTGAAAATACTGTTGTAGGGTAAAAACATCACAAAGTTTAGTTAAGCAAAAAGAAAGTTGTATTCGGCATATATACAAAAAGGCAAAAGTGGGAAACAGACAACCATGCTGCCAGAGCCATGTCTGCCCGAGTCCAAGGAAATATTACAGAATACACAAAGAGTGGGAAAACAGATAAGCATGCTGCCACAGCCATGTCTGTCCGAGTCCAAGGATTACAGAATAAGCAAGAATGGGAAAATGGACAAGCATGCTACTAAAGCCATGTCTGCCAGAGTCCAGAGAAAATTACAGAATAGGCAAGAATGGGAAAACCGGACAAGCATGCTGCTACAGCCATGTCTGCCCGAGTCCAGAGAACATTACAAAGTCCTCACTATATATTGACATTATAAATGAGCAAAACCATTGAAAGCGTGATCTTTTCACAGATTGGCTAGAAACTGTGATCCTACATTTTGAATCGTCTTTGTTAACAATCATTGGTACAGGTTTCAGTAAGGACAGTCAGGAGGGTCTTCTTTGTCCAACAAATTTTCTATTCACTAAATGCTAATAGAAAAAGATAAGAGTGGAAAGTCTTTTGTGTTCTGTTTGATTGGCTTTTGTGAAAGGTTCCCTAAAAGATATATTCCAAGATTATCCTAGCTATTGTCTTTATACCTCAGGGCCCAGATGATGTGTCCTTGTGAGTCCTTGTGAGCCGTTGTGAGCCCAGCTCCAGCTGGGTAACATTCTCTATGCTCAAGAAGAGGGAATAATGATTCCAATATCATTTCCTAAATCAATACCATATGCTGTATAGTGCAGAAGTGAACCTATTATTTTATGATTATTATCACTGCTCCAACTTCATCTTGTGCCCCTTGCTCCTTGGGAGATTATGTTCAGCCTGTCATGGCAAGTACCTTCCCACCTCCGTACCTTTGCATATGTTGTCCTCTCTGCTTAGGATGTACTTCACTTTGCACTTCAGAAAACTTGCTTCGTCTCATTCTTTAGAATACAGGATAAATGCTACCTTTCAAAGGGACCATCCCTGAACACTTGACCTAACGTAGTCCCTCTCTTCCTTTTACTCTCTGTCTGAACATCTTGTTTATTTCCTTCATGACACTAATGTCAATTTTGTAATTGTTTATTCTTCATTTACTTGCCTTTTTATTCCCCACTATACTGTAAATTCCTTGAGGGTAGGGAGCTTGTCTGTTTTGCTCACTGCTATATCTCCAGCACTTCAACATAATAACCAAAACCCATTGCCATCAAGTTGATTCCGACTCATAGTGACCCTATGGGACAGAGTAGAAATGCCCCATAGAGTTTCCAAGGAGCGGGTGGTAGATTTAAACTGCTGACCTTTTGGTTAGCAGCCAAGTTCTTAACCACTGTGCCACCAGGGCTCCTCAACAACATCATAGGCACTTGATATTCATTGGACTGATGATGATAATAGTAATAATAATCACAGTAATAACATTTGTTAATTATATAACCAATCTGCAAGGTAGATATTGTTTTTTTCCATTTTACAACTAAGGTTAAATAACCTGCCCAAGTCCAACCTGTTAGTAAATGGAGAAGTGATAATATGAACTCCTGTGGGCTCTTAGCTCTATGAAAGGAGAGAGTGTTCCATCTTATTCATTTTTGATCTCCAGTTCTTAATCCAGTGCTCAGTAAATATTTTTGAATGAAGGCTGTTAATCCAGGTCTTTTCCTCTTTAAGCCCTGCTTTGCCTCCAACCATAATTTCATATTATGTAAGGTGTGAATTTTATCATCTGGATAAGCTTGACCTGTATTATATATTTCTAGAAACATTATTACGGATTTTCTACTGTTTTGTGGATCTTAGTATCTACAGCTTTACATGCCTTTTCCTCTGTAAAACAGGAATTGATTATATTTCTTCTGGATGAATTAAAAATATTTTATGGCATCTGTAATTTCAAATATTTTGCTTCTTCAGATATGGTGTGTGGACAATTCGAGCTAAATATAAAGAGGACTTTTCAACAACTGGAACCACATGTTTTGAAGTTGAAGAATATGGTAATTTCTGACAATTAAGAGTTTTCCTTTAAAAAGTTAATGTTTTTGCAATAATTATTTTTACTAATGTGCTTAACACAACATCATTCCTAGATGACAATGAGGCAGCCTGCTGGTATGGTTAGAAGTCCTGGTTGGCATGGGTAGGTGGTAGTTGTTCAAATGCCTAAGTTCTAGTTCCCACATTTCCTCATCAACCTTGAGCAATCAATCTCTCTGGACTTGTATTCTTCATCACAGAGCTAAAAGTACCTAGTCCCATGAGGAGCTTGACAAGTTAAGGTTCTTTCCAGAACTATGATTTTAGGAAAACCTGGTGGTGTAGCGGTTAAGAGCTACAGCTGCTAACCAAAAGTTGGCAGTTTGAATCCACTAGGCACTCCTTGGAACCCCTATGGGGCAGTTCTACTCTGTCCTGTAGGGCTGCTGTGAGTCGGAACCGACTCGATGGCAACGAGTTTGGTTTTTTTGGTTTTAAACAATCAGAGTTACAGTGAGTGGAACCCAATAAAATTAATAAAAGATTTACTCAAGGCTTACAATCAGTTAGTGACAGAACAAGGACAGCATCAGTTTTCCTTACTCCTAGTCCAGCACTATCTTCCTTCTGGATCACAAATCTCTAACATATTTATTTGGAAATTTAATATGTTCTTGTTTTGAAATCAATCATATTGAATGGACTAATAATTAACACAAAAAACCCAGTTGCCATCCAGTTGGTACTGACTCATGGAAACCCCATGTGTGTCAGAATAGCACTGTGCTCCATAGGGTTTCCAATGACTGATTTTTCAGATGTAGATCACCAGAACTTTCTTCGGAGGAGCCTCTAAGTAGATTCAAACTTCCAACCTTTGGGTTAGCAGCCAAGTGTGTTAACTGTTTGCACCACCCAGGGACTAATAATTAACACATGAACAGCTTAATCTTCCATTTGTTATAGTAGTTTAATAGAATATGTGTGTGCTCTGTTAACAAACTGAACTTTCTTCGGCTTGAAGGCATTTTTCTAAATGCCATCACCAGACTCATGATGATATGGAGAAGAAGGAACATACAAATTTAAAGAATTAATAAGCAAAAACAATGACAAAACAAATTTGTTATAATGAAACTCAACCTTAAAGATCATAGGCTCTCAATAACATATGATCTCCCTTCCTCCAAGTATTTTGTATGTATCTAGAATTCACTCACCTCTTACTATCTGCAGCCACCCGCATGCTTGTCATCACCAGGCTCCAGCTAGAGTACTGCAAAAGCCTCCTAACTGGTGTCTTTATTGCTTGCAACTAGTCAAAATAATCTTGAAATGAAAATCTGATTGTGTTATTTCTCTACTGAAAATTCCCCAGTCTCTCCCTACTCCTTTTATAATGAAAACCAAAATCCTCATTGTGAGCTGTCTAACCACCTCCTCGGCCTCATTTTATACCACTCAATTTCACTGTCCTCCAGCGTCAGTGGCTTTGCACATGGTATTCCATCTGCCTGGAACACTTCTCCCCTCCCTGTGTAGCCAACTCCTACTCATGTTTCAATTCTTAGTTTAATTTTGTGCCTGAGGGTACATATAGCGACCATAAACTTTTTCAGCCTGTGGGATTTATTGGAAAGCTGCTGTACCACTGACAGTGCATGCTACTGCAAGGCAGGGACCTTTATGACTGTTTGAAACGGAAGAAATGGGCATGTGCCACAAATTATTGTTTTTACAGGGTATTATATGAGGTGTCTGAATTTTTGGTAGGAAAAATAGAAATTTTGAAAATTTTTATTTGTTACACATATGTACCAATAGACCCCAGTGGGGACTCTAGGGTATAATTAGTGATACTTCATATACACTTAGGGTAAGCTTGTGGGAGGGGGGAGAAAACCCATACAACCTACCAAAAATTCAGACACACTGAATGATTCAGCATGCTTCCATTAATGAAAACACATGGTATCAACAAAAAATTTAAAGCAGAAAATACTTGAGTCACCAAGGGGTTAAAAACTATTTCTTCAGGGAAGCTTTCCCTGAATTCCCTTTCCCGAGTAGGAGCTCTTGTATGTCTTCATATCTGTTTTCACAACTGTAGCTTAGATGATTATTTGTGTGATTATTTATGCCTGTCTTCCCTGCTTGTCTGTGAACTCATCAAGGACAGGGGCTATGTCTCTCTTGTTGATAAACATATCGCTGTTGATAGGAGAATGCCCGCCACATGGTAGGCCGGTATTTGATGATGTTGTTGTCATTGTTATGTGTTGTTATGTTGTTATGTGCCATAAGTCGATTCCCACCCATAGCAACCCTATAGGACAGAGTAGAACAGCCCCATAGGGTTTCCTAGGCTGAAATTTTTATGGGAGCAGATTGCCAGGTCTTTTCTCCCATGGAGCAGCTGGTGGGTTGAAACAGCTGACCTTTCGGTTAACAATGGAGCACTTAACCATTGTGCCACCGGGGCTCCTTTGGTTGATGATGGAATGAAATATTTCCCTGCATACCTTAATCCTGGAGAGAACACAGCTGCCTTGATTTTTGATTAACAGATTAGTAAATTGCATTGCTCTTTTACTTCTAGCCTTCACAATCTAAGTGACATGAGGCACATCTGAAGCCAATTTCCTCACTCTGAAGTGTCAGTCTTTGCTTGTTTACAATATCAGGTTCATTCAGTCACCCAATTTTCTATTAAATGTTGTGCAGGTTAATAGAATTATAATCTTGAAGTCCTGGCACACTGAATGTAAAGAGATGACAGTGTTACTTAGATTAATTTCCCTTGGGCTCTCAAGATACCAAAGAGATAGAAAAAAATTCACAACTTCCTTTTTGAACTAATTTTTAGCTTTGTGTAAAAGTTTTTTTCTTACAGGTAACTGTAAGCTCTCTCTTCTTTACTAAAGTCAGAGTTTTATGCTGATATTTTGGACATTGGTTAGATTTTATCTATTAGACAAAAAAGGAAAATGCTAAGTAAGCTACAATTTTTCTTTTCTATTTTCAGTTTAATTCAATAAACATTTGTTGAGCATATACTCTGTTTAAGACTTAATGAGAAGGGTGAGAGGGAGATATACAAAGATAAATAAAGAGTAATTTTTTGTTGTTGTTTGTGTGTTTTCAAGGAGCCCATACTCAAGTGGAGGAAATAACCAACTGCCTATAATAAATGCCGTAATCAAAGTATTAGCAAAGTGCTACTGGTACACAGATGCTTTATTGGCTTCTGATTGGTGATGGGAATAATAATATCTTCCCAGAGATATTATTATTGCTGTTGTTGATGATCATGATGATAAGGATGATATTATGTTGAAGTTAACAGTTTGTCCAACTATACCAGAAAGTATAGTTGGTTGCTGTGCTCTAAAAGCTGCTCTAACTTAATAGTAGTATTGCCTCTTTGTTTTTATTTTCAGTGTTGCCACATTTTTCTGTCTCGATAGAACCAGAAAGCAATTTCATTGGCTATAAGAACTTTGAGAATTTTGAAATTACTATAAAAGCCAGGTAAGAAAGTTACTATTTTCAGATTAAGTAGCTAAATTGAGTGCCAACTGTGGCTGATGATAGTTGCCCAAAGTGAGATTTGTGATTTGTTAGCAATGTCTCCCTTGACTTCGGGACCAACTGACTGAGGTTACATCATGCCTGTAGTTTATTTGCTGATTCTGATTTTAGCTGTTGGTTATTCACCAGCAAAGAATCTTAAATACTTAAGCTCAGTGTACATGCTTAGGAACCATCATAACTTAGGATACAGAGATTGAGTTATAAAGCCTTCACTTGTCTTTTTTTTTTTTTTTTTAAATGGTTGTATCAATCAGCTAATGCTGCATAACCAACTACCTTAAAACCACCATTTATAAGTCAGCCTTGAAGTTCTGCTGATTTGGGCCGGGCTGACAGCAACCGGGCTCACTCATGCATCTGTACTTATTGGCAGGTCAGCTGGAGCTGGTTGGTCTAGGATGGTCTCACTAACATTCCTGGCAGTTGGCAGTCAGTCAGCTGGGACTAAGGATGACTGCACCATGTGCATCTCTCATCATCCAGCAGGCTAGACCGTAGCAGCAGCAGGGCTCAAAAAGAGAGAGAAAGTGGAAGCATGAAAGTCCTCTTGATGACTAAGCTTGGAACTGGCACACCATCACTTCCACCACATTCTTTTGGCCAAAACAAATCACAAGTCCAGCCCAGAGAGAGTAGACTCCCTCCCCCTCCACAACACCCTTTGTTTGCAAGAAACTGCAAAGGGTGCAGATACAGGGAGAGTTGAATTGGGTTAGTTTTAGAAGCAATCTACCACAACAGCTTTGGTCATTTAAAAATGACAATATAACTTAGTTATTCATAACAACACCAAATTATATAGCTATATGTGTTGGGTACTTTTCTAAGCATTTGGCATATATTAGCTCATTTATTCTTTACAACAACTCTATGAGAGAGGTACTATTATCCCCATATTACAAATGAAAAAAACTAAGATACATAAATGTTAAGGAATTTTCCCAAGATCACACAACTAGTAAGTAACACAGCCAGTCTGATTCCAGAGTCCATGCCTTCAAATGCTACTCTATACTGCCTTTCTTCATATTATTTATTCTGAAAATAGAGCGTCACTTAGTCTAGACCAGCATAAAAGCCTCAATTGACAGAGGATTATAGAAACTGACTAGTTTTAATGGAGACATTTCCTTTACTTGTGCCAAATATGAATGAGGGAAGTTTACTCTTATTATAGTATTATTTGCTATACAGAAAGTTTCCTTTATTCTTGCTTTAATTATAAGCTAAAATGGAAGTATGCAGTAAGAATTTTAAAAAAAGAATTTATCTGATATAACAGTGAAATTGTATAAACTTCTTTAAAGACATAAAAGAAAATAGGACAGCAGCTCCCCATTGATATCAAAATCAGCAAAGCAGTAATGTGGCTTGTAGGAAAGGCACCTGGACCTAAGCTTTTTGCTGTCCCCAAGATCAATTTTTTCATTAGCATATACTAATAAATATCTGTCGTCTAGCTTTATTATTATGGCCTTATGAGGTTGAAATGTAATAGTAGATGGAAGACACTTTAAAGAGTATCAAGCACTTTATATAATTTCAAATTGTTACATTTTATCTGAATCGTATTATTGGAGCTGTGTTAGCAAAACAATTTTATGATATTCTTGCTTGACAGGTATTTTTATAATAAAATAGTCACTGAGGCTGAAGTTTATATCACTTTCGGAATAAGAGATGACTTAAAAGATAATCAAAAGGAAATGCTGCCAAAAGCAATGCAAAGCACAATGGTAAGACGTTAAGACATGTTCACTCATACCTAAGGGTGTGTGTTCCTATCATGAATGTTAAAGAGATGGAAAGTGTATTAGTTTCCTAGGACTTCCTTAACAAAGTACCATGATCTGGGTGATTTGAAACAACAGAAATGTATTCTCTCGCCATTCTGAATGTTAGAAGTCCAAATTCAGGGTATTGACAGGGACATGCTATCTCCAAAAGCCCTAAAGGAAGATCCTTCCTTGCTTCTTCCAGCGTCTGGTTTCCAGGCATTGCTTGACTTGTGACAGCATAACTCCAATCTCTGCCTCTATTTTCACATGGCGTTCTTTCCTGTGTATCTCTGTGTCTGAGTTTCTTCTTCTTATAAGAACACTAGTCATGTTGGATTAGGGCTCACTCTATTCCATTATGACCTCAAGTTAACTAATAACATCTTCAGAGACTCTATTTCCAAATAATGTCATATTCACAAGTACAAGGGGTTAGAACTTGGACATATCTTTTTGGAAGACACAAATCAACCCATAATAGAAATTTACTGGTCCCTTTCCTCATTTTGTACGGGTGTGGAAGTTGAATCTTACAATTCTCCACTGGCTTCCCATTGTCCTTAGGATAAAGTCCACTATCTTTTGCATCAGCTTCCCTCGCCAGCCTGTATTGTGCCACTCTCCCCTTCACTTCCCCTTGACTAGTCACTCCAGTTTCTCAAACTTACTATAGTCTGTCTTGCCTCCACGTCTTTGGAACAACATTCCTTCTGCTTGGGGAACTGCTTTTTCTTTGACTTCTCCTACCCCTTCTTTGCCTGGCTAATTCTTTCTCATTCTTTAAGCCTCAGTGTTGACATTCTTTCTCTGGGAAGCCTCCCCTGACTCCTTTAAGCTAGGTTAGGTGCTCCTGCTATGTACTCCATAGATCCTGAACCTCTTTATTAGAGCATTTTCCACACTTTATTGCAGTGATTCTCCATCAGGGGGCAATTTCCTCCTCCCAGAAAATATTTAGCAAAGTCCAGAGACATTTGTGGTTGTCACAACTAGGGGAGGGAGGTGCTACTGGCATCTTGTGAGTAGAGATCAGGATGCTGCTAAAAATCCCTCAATGCACAAAACAGTCCTCCACAACAAACAATTATCCAGTCCAAAATGTCAATAATGCTGAGATTGAGAAACACTGCTTTATTGTGATGGTTTATTTGCTTATCTATCATTCTTTACACTAAACTCTTTGTGGGTCTGAATTACTCCCATTACCTGCCCAGAGCCAGCATGATTTTTGGAAAATAGTAGGTGCTCTATAAATATTTGTGAATGAATGGATGACACATGGGGAAGTTATCTGTCCATGGTTATGGGCTAGTGATTGCTGGGACTGCAGTTAGTGCCTGGTTCCCTTTTTCCTTGTTTATTGTTATTTACATTATGCCACAGATGACATGGTTCATGTCATTTTGCTCTCTGGTGCATATTCATGTAGTTTGCATCATAAATTATTTAACCTTCGCTTTTTCAAAAGACAGTTTTATTTATTCAAGATATAATCAAATGTCTTTTTTTAATGCAAGATTCCTTGCTAGATACTGAAGTTTAAAGCACTCAAGTCGATCATTATTAGAAGAAAAATAAGGCAAAATCTATTTTACTGTATTTGCTAATATTATATGATTTAGCTCCATCCCCCACTGTACGTTTTTAAATTAGTTTTTAAATTTGTAACCAGTGAAGTACAAACTAAACATTATAAAACCAAGCTGAGAGACCTAGAAAGATGGGTGATGACTTAGGGATTGGAAGATGTCTTTATCAGTTAGTAGGAAAAAAACCTGGGACTCATACATATAGTCAGCCCGGAGCCGTCTCAGTCATCACCAAAGGTAATTTACCTCTGGTCTATATTATATGATTAAATTTTTCAGGTATTTTATCTTGAACCCCTAACTAGATTTTTAATTCCTTGGAGACAGAAACCTGCTTATAAAACTTTCAGACCTCAGACAAATCATTTAACCTCACTGAACTCACATTTGTTCACAGTAAAATGCGAGTGTGCTAGACTACATAGATGATCTCTAGGGTCCTTTCCAGCTCTTTAGGTTTATGATTATATAAAAGGGGATTGGAGAATTGAAGTAATTATCTTGTTTATTGTAAGGAAAGATGTATGCATTCTTTTCCTTCTGTATCCTTCACACTGGAGTGCCTAAGTGGTATAAACAATTAACATGTTCAGCTGCTCACTGAAAGGTCAGAGGCTCAAGTCCACCCACAGGTGCCTTGGAAGAAAGGTGTGGCAATCTACTTCTGAAAACCCTACGGAGTACAGTTCTCTTACACACCATGAGTCAGACTCAACTCAGCGGCAGCTGGTTTGGTTGTATGGTCTGTGCTCGTGTCATCACAACACTGCTGGTGGATGTGTTGTCCTTCACACTGCCGGCCAGAATCTCTTAAAGTCAGAAGTATCATTTCATTTCCCTGTTTTAAGAATAAGTTTCTTTCAGGATCCTGAAAGGATATAACCTTGCCTTTCAAATGGAGGCAGACAAGCTTTAGAAACTAAATAAGGAACGAATATTGACTCTAAATCTTGAACCATTACTATATCCTCCAACTTGACAAGAATAATTGGTACTACACAATGAGAGTATATTCGTGTGGAAATCTCTATTGTCTTTGACAGCGTTTTTCAGATTGGCATTGTGGAAATATTCTTAGGGGCTCATGATTTCCATAAATATTTTAAGTTCCATAAGTAGTTTAACTTCTACATTTTAATCTTAATGATAATCTAAATAAGTAGCTAATCTATTATAAAGACAAAACTCTTTTGAGGTAATAATTCATAATTTAAAGATTTTTTAATGGCATAATCTTTTAGTTTCTTAAGTCATAGTTTCTCAGAAAGACCCTTAGAACCCACAAATGTGTTTTCTCAAATCCAGGAATACCTGTTTCCCCTGCAGACAGGGCCTATTTGCACATTACTCAAGTGTGAGAAACACTGCTTCTGGTAGCAGCCTATGTCAGATACCTTTTGAAGTAATAAAGGAAGAGAGAGTGAAGGTTTAAAGGGTTTTAGTTCTAGTCTCAGCTCAGCCCCTATTTCACTGGGAAACATTGGATAAGCCACAGAGCCTTTGTTTCCTTATTAAAAAAGAAAATGTTGAACCATATATTGTCCAAGACTCTTCCATCTCTACAATTCTATAAAAATGAATTAGAAAATAACATTCTGGTCTTAATTGTGTACTCAGCTATCCACCTTATTCATGAAGGTAAACTATTCCTCTAAAATTTGCCTTCAACTTAGAGGCTAGTAAAAGAAAATTTTGTTAATTTTTCTTTGTAAGTTCTTCTCTGAAATAACTCTTCAATTTTCCCCTTTTAAAAAGTTGATAAACGGAATTGCTCAAGTCACATTTAACACTGAAACAGCAATTAAAGAACTGTCATATAATGGTCTAGAAGATTTAAATGACAAGTACCTTTATATTGCTGCAATAGTCATAGAGTCTTCCGGTAAGTTTCTTTCTTTTTTTGTTTTTTAACTTTCTCTTGGGAAATATTTAGGTAGCATAATAAAGGTAAAAATAATTTCTACAGTTGTTTCATTGTTAAATTTTACTTTTCTGTTATTAAAAACTGGGATACAAGTAGAGCTATGCCACTCTCTAGTTGTTGGCTAGCCATTAGGTCCCTATTACCTCAGCAGCAAAAAGAGGAGTAATGGCTGCCCAGTTGATATACCAAGTGGCTGTGCAGGCTATCTGGCTTGACCATATGACACCCCAATGTTCTTACCTAGTGAGAATCAAAATTAAAATGAGATAATGTACGTAGAAAATGTTTGATAAAGTAATATACAAATGAAAAGTATTATTATTATCATTGTTTAAGTCTCCTTATCTGTATAACGATGTAGTTGAATTAAATGCCTCCTAAAGCCTTTTTGGAAACCCTGGTGGCATAGTGATTAAGTGTTATGGCTGCTAACCAAAAGGTTGGCAGTTCGAATCCACCAGGCACTCCTTGGAAACTCTATGAGGCCGTTCTACTCTGTCCTATAGGGTCATTATGAGTCAGAATTGACTTGATGGCAATAGGTTTGATTTTTTTTGTTTTTTTAAGCCTTTTTCAGCTATAGAATTCAGAGATTCTCTCTGAAATTGGAGATAATAGTACATTTCTAAAATGGGTATAATAATAGTATATACCTCATAGGGTTGTAGTAAGGATCAAAGAGTAAATATACGTGAAAGCACTTGAAACAGTATCTGTCATACAGTGTTATATAATTGTTAGCACCTCTTCTCATTCTTCTCCTTTTCCTCTACCTCCTCCTCTTTCTCCTTTCCCTTACTTCTTCACTACAAGGGACCACCTACTACTCTTAACATTCTTAACATCTTGTCTAGTGTACTTATAATCTAGGAGCATCAGAACTTGTCTAGATTCCTTAGGGATAAGAACCAGGATCAGCATAAAGCTGGCTCCCATGAGGAAGAGGTCAAACATACTTCCACTCTCCAACCTTTCTACCAATTCTGACACCAGCTGTCCTCCCCACGACACTCTCTACTTTTCTCCTGGGTTCAATAATTCATTGCAATCGCCACACAGAACTCATGAACTGTGCTTCCAATTAAGTGGTTTATTAAGGAAGTAACAGGATACAACTTGGGATCAGGATCAGGAAGCATGTATGCAAAATCTAGAAGGCTCCCCTAAAGTGGAGAGCACATCCCTCCCTCCTTCAGTGCAGGACAGCTCTCACAGCTCTTCTTGGCCATATAAGCAAGCAAGCCCTTCTCTCTGCTGTGCATGCTCCCTCTCAGCCATGCAGGCCTTCTCTTAGCCCCCTCAGGACAAGCCTCATCTCAGGCCCACTCAGAACAGGCGTCCTCCCAGATCCCTCAGAAAAGGACTACTCTTGGCTGTGCATGCCCCCTCTCAGCCATGCAGGCCTCTCTGCCATTGGCCTCTCTACTGCTAACTGACCCAGCGCATAGCCAGTGTAGCAGCTTTGTTCAGCTCGCTTAGCTGCATTCCTAGTAGCAGATTTCTACAATCACCACCAACTCTGCCATAGGGCCCCTTACTGGCCTATCGCCACTAACTCTGCCACAGGGCCTCTTCCAGGCCTCTCACTGTCTTCAGTGTTACAGCCCTTGACCCGTGTTACAGCTCTTTTAGGCAATTCCTTCCCTCCTCTCTCTCTCCTTCTTCTCTCTTCTTCTTTTTTTTATTGTGCTTTAGGTGAAAGTTTACACCTCAAGTTAATGTCTCATACAAAAATTTATACACATATTGTTATATGACCCTAGTTGCAATCCCTATAATGTGATAGCACAGTTCCCCTTTCCACCCTGGGTTTCCCATGTCCATCCAACCAGCTCCTGTCCCTTTCTGCCTTCTCATCCTGACAGAAGCTGCCCATTCAGTCTCATGTATCTGCTTGAACTAAAAAGTACGCTCTTCACCAGTATTATTTTATGTTTTATAGTCCAGTCTAATCTTCGTCTGAACGATTAGCTTTGAGAATGGTTTTATTTCTAGGTTAACAAAGCACCTGGGGCTATGTCTTCAAGGGTTCCTCTAGTCTCAGTCAGACCACTAAGTCTGGTCTTTTTACGTGAATTTGAGTTCTGCACCACACTTTTCTCTGGCTGTGTCAGGGGCTCTGTGTTGTGTTCCCTGTCAGGGTGGTCATTGGTGGTAGCCAGGCACCATCTAGTTCTTCTGGTCTCAGGGTGATGGAGTCTCTGGTTTATGTGGCCCTTTTGTCTATTGGGCTAATATTTTCCTTGTGTCTTTGGTATTCTTCATTTTCCTTTGCTCCAGCTGAGTTGGGATCAACTGATGCATCTTAGATGGCTCTTCTCGCTTCTTGACTCTCTTGCTTTTTCTCCTTTCTTAAACCTCTTTGGGGTTGGCTGCTTATATAAGCAAACTCCTTGTCAATTTCAAAGCATGGCCCTCCCAGCAGGGCCACAAACTGACCAATCCCCTCAGTGGATGATAGTCACTTTATTTGCATAATCTATAGCCACTTCATTTGCATAGTATATTGACCAATCCCTGTAAGGTATGTACTAATCACAAGGGCAGGCTGCAGCCCCAGGCCAGACAAAAAGTATCAAACCATCAAATTGTTTATAGCTTACCCAGGAAATGTCCATCAACCTGGACAAATGTAACAAACCCTCTGGAGTAGAAAACTAGGGCAAAGGTAACTCCTCAGGGTTTAGAGGAAAAATCTTTCAAGCAGTTTTTCCAAAGAACCAAAGCAAAAGCCTACATAAAGGAACTCATTTCACCACAGCACTCAACTCCACTCCACTGGTTTTTAATAGTTACTAATTGTTACTCCTAGCTGAGCCAAATCATCTTGCTTCTGGTATGCCTTGATTACTGAGGTTCTTTGTATTTTCAGTTTTATACTGAACCCCAAAATAACCTTCAGCAAGTAATTTACCCACACTGAACTCTGGTTTTGTTTTGTTTTTAATTATAAAATGAAAGACCAGATGGTCCCTTCCACTTTTTAATTTTGTGCTTCTATGGAAGCAGAATGGAGAATTCAGGTAATTATTCAGTTATTGAGCCCCTTGTTTATACCAGATGCTCAATAAATGTTGGAGAATGATGGTTACTTTATCCTCCATGCCCTTGCTATTGCTTTTGACATTATTTTAATGTATCAGTCTTTTATTTTTTCCTTAATTTCTTTCAAATAAATTCAGTTTAAGCAATAATTACATGATATGCAAAAAATATTGCCAAGCATGCAGACTTACAAATGTGAATGATGTGTAGTCCCAGCACTCAAGTAGCTTACAAACTGACATCAGGTATAAGACAAGTAAACAAAGAGCTTTTATAGGAAAGAAGTCCATAGTGCTCTAAGAAAAGAGGTTAATGCTATCAATCTTCAGAAGAAGGAGAGCTCCCAGATAATTGCTGAGCAACCCAGGAAGGTGTCATAAAGAAGGGGAAGTTTGAGATTGTCTTGAAGGATAAATAGGGTTTTGAGGCAGGGATGATAGACAGGGTGAACGGGGGCTGCTTCCATAAAGGAAATACATCAAGGCTGGAAAGTGGGGCTTGATCTGTGAGAATAGCAGCTTATCCAGTTAGGCTGAAGTATAAAATATGTATAGGGAGTTACTAGAGATGTAATATTGGGAAGGAGTTTGAGGATACTAGAGCTTTGAATGTTATTCTTAATAGTTTGAGTTTAATTTTTAGCTGGTGGGTAATACTATTGTGGTGTTGCCAGTGGACCCTAATCGTTCTCCTGACCTCAAACTTTCTTTTTCTGTTTTCCCTGTTTCTGTCACTATCCCTGTACTTTAACAGTGAACTCCCTATAGGGCTCAGTCTCTGGCCTCCCCTTTTCCTCTCTCCTCAATCCTTTGTACATATACAACTGAAACCCAGGCAACTGACAAAAGTGGTGTCCCTTCCTCAAATTCCTCCTCAGTTCAGTCCTGTAGCTCCATTTCCTCAAGGGACATCTCTACATATAAGCCTTGTACATAAGGCTTGGGAACCTCCTGAAGCTGAACTCTTCTTTGCATGGCTCCTCTGAGAACCAAGAACCATGTCTGCTTACTATTGGTAAACGAATGAGTGAAAAAATGAAGGAATGGGGTGAGTGAATGAATGAATAAGTGTGTGGAGACAGACAGAAACCCATATAGATCATTGTACTCCTAAAATATGTCAACATGGTGCTTGTTATTTCCCTAGGTGGATTTTCTGAAGAGGCAGAAATACCTGGCATCAAATATATTCTCTCTCCCTACAAACTGAATTTGGTTGCTACTCCTCTTTTCTTGAAGCCTGGGATTCCATATTCCATCAAGGTAGATGAGAGGGAAAAGAGAAAAAAAAAAACGCTGCTGAATATGATTATCTATTTTTGTTAATGGAAACCATGGGAGTGGCAAACAAGGAGGGTGCTGGGGAGGGAAATCAGTGAGGGAGCTCACTCTGTAGAACCTCCTCCTGTGGACAGGATCAATCAGGGGTAGGAAAAATGCAGGTCAGCTTTAGTCTTGGGAGTGATTCCAACCCTCAGGGCAAGTGCCATTATTTAGAAATACAGCCTAGGGTTAGGCACTAAGTAAACATTGCATTAATTATATGTAAATAAAACCCCAAAAGTCTATAGTTTGAAAAATGCTAGCATTTAAAATTATTTAGTAGCAAGTTTAGGAGCTCTGGTGGTGCAGCGGTTAAGTGCTCTGCTGCTAACTGAAAGGTCGGTGGTTTGAACCCACCAGCCTCTCTGCGGGAGAAAGATGTGGCAGTCTGCTTCCATGACGTATGGGGCAGTTCTACTTTGTCCTATAGTGTCATTATGAGTCGGAATCAACCTGACCACAATGGGTTTGCTTTTTGGTTTTGGTGGCAAGTTCTTAAAAATCCTTAGATGGAAATATTACTCCTTGAAAATAGACCCTTTTCTCCCACCATTTTTTTTCTTCCTGTGTGTCTTTGAGTATGCATTTCTGTTTTTCACTTGGCTCTGTATTCTCTTTGTGCATAACTCTGTCTAGTCTTTTGTCTCTCTGTATTGCTCTCTGTCCTCTTTATTTAGACTCTTTCTGTCCCTCACTCTCTCTTCTCTTTTCTGCTTCTTTCTTCCTTTTTAATTTTTCTCTCCTTCCTCCACTTTTCCTTTCTAAAATGCTGATAATATGGAGTTGAAACAGTCGTTTGATTTTCAATTATATTATTAAATGGAAATTTTTGCTACCTGTCTTTAATATAGAAAGCTAGAACAGAATTTTTTTTTAATTCTTTGAAAATGTGTTGCTTTTAAAAATCAGCTTTAGTATAATTAAAATTTGTTCTTTTTTACTTACTGTGGGTCATTGGCTTTTAAGAGTAAAATATTTGCCAAGTCAAAAGCAAGCTTTGGACATGCTTGTAACTTCATATAAATAAATAAGAAATATATAGCATCTAAAATATAATATTACACATATATGTACATATATACATATGTGTATATGTATCTATTACATATATATTAGTCTATGTAATATAATATTTATATTTAAATATTTTAGTATATTTTACATACCATACAAAAAAATAAAATAATATAAACTATATCTTTGTGGAAATTATGTTTGACCATATGCATGGTAGTGAGAGGTAGAGGTTAAGGGGAAAAAAAAAGAGTTCCATTTATTGTTTCTTGTATTCTGGAGACTCATTCCCATAAGTTATTGCCTCATTTTCTCCTTTATCCCTTCCTAAACCAACTGAAAAAATACAGAAGATAGATAGTAGAATTCCTTATCACATCTACTCCCGGACGGGCTTAATAGAATGATATTTATGTTCTGAGTCGGCTTGATGTACAGGGGAATCCACTCAAGAATGATTTAACTAACTAAAACTAAACTTTTCTAAAACTGAGAACATGCCTCTCTTTACGGAATTAAATATGAATAATTTATACTTGGGTGGGGAAGGGAAATTATGTCCGAATTTTTTATGCTTTAAGAGAAGTGATGAGCTGTTGAAATGGATTTGGACTGTTCTGACCAACAGGTGCAGGTTAAGGATTCACTTGACCAGTTGGTAGGAGGGGTCCCAGTAACCCTGAGTGCAAAAACAGTTGATGTCAACGAAGAGACTTCTGACCTGGAGTCAAAGAAAAGTATAACACATGTCAATGATGGAGTAGCTTCGTTTGTGGTTAATCTCCCATCTGGTGTGACTGCGCTGGAGTTTGAGGTGAGCTGAATTCTCCTGTTATATTTTCTAGGACAGTGTGTACTTTTGACTATGTGTTTTGGCTAGTGTGCAGAACAGATTTTATACATGAGTCCAGTGAACAGTTCTGCAATTTTGCGTCCAAAAAAATTATTACTGTAGGCAACCTGCTAATCCACTGAACAATCCTTGAGGAAGATAAATCTATTGATTTTTTATTTGTGAATTAAGTCTTTCATACCACATAAGACTATATTAAGGAGCCCTGGTGGCATAGTGGTTAAAGTGCTCAGCTGCTATCCAAAAGGTTCCAACCCACCAGCCGCTCCACAGGAGAAAGATGTGGCAGTTTGCTTCCGTAAAGATTTCAGCCTCGGAAACCCTATGGGGTAGTTCTACTCTGTCCTATAGGTTCGCTATGAGTCGAAATTGACTTGACAGCAAAGTGCATGTATGCGTATGTAAGACTATATTAGAATCTAGAAGCTTCAGAGTAGGTAGTAGCAGTGGAAATCAGTGGTAGGAGTATCCTCTTCCCCCGCCCCACCCCCACACACTATTTGTCTTTTTTCAGGGACAAATGGTTCAAATGTGGAGGCCTTCCTTTTTTCTAACTGAATGAACCACTGTACCTTAGAGTACACTTCTCTCCCAGCAAATAATGTCTAAGCTCCCAACCCCAGATAAAATATAAGGAAGTTAATGACCAAAACAAAACAAAATGTGTTGCCATCAAGTCAATTCCAACTCATAGCAACCCTATAGGACAGAGTAGAACTGCCCCATAGGGTTCCTCATAGGGTTTCTGAGGCTATAGTCTTTACAGAAGCAGACTGCCACATCTTTCTCCCGCAGAGTGACTGGGGATTTGAACCACCAATCTTTTGGTTAGCAGCCTAGTGCTTAACCACTGCTACCAGGGCTCCTTAAGTTAATGACAGCATACATATATTCTACCATCTATTGAACACTTAATAAATGTCAGGCATTGTGCTAAGAACTTTACGTAGAACACATTTAATACTCATATAATTACCTCTATGAGTTAGAGAAAATAATCTTTTCCATTTTGTGGCAGAGGCTTCTAACCTCTCTTTGTGATTAAGCAAGTATTTAGATTAATAAGTGGCAGCACTGGATGCAAACCAATGCATATCTGACTTAAGAGTGTGAGCTAGAAACCCCTCTGCTATCTGAGGGCTGCTATTGCTGCCATGGTATCATTTCTGCCCTACCCATGTTTGTAAAAGCTCCTCTGTGCCATGACTTCACGATGAAACCGGGGCAGATAGTCTCAGTGATGATGTTTATTCACAGCTCCTTTCCCCCAGTTCTCAAGAGTTAGTGCTACCTCCCCACTGCTTTCCCTCTCCTACCCCCAATTACTGTCATCCTGCCCTATAGGAATAGAAATTACCAACTTGTGCATGACATTTCTGGAAGAGTGCCAAGATTTATTCCAGGAACATCTATCTCTCTTCATTTCACCAGACTTTCCCACCATAGCCCACAATCCTGTCATTATTGTCTATAGTCTGTGTAAAGTTACTTGATACTATAGCTGTACAAACATTGAAATCATTATTTTCTTTTCTTTAAAATTAGGTGTTGTGAAATTTAGCAATCTATAAAACAAAGAAAGGAATTTAAAGGATGTGTTTTGTTGAAAGCATTACATCACAGTCCGTTTTTTTTTTTTTTTTTTCTCTTTTTAGGTCAAAACCGATGACCCAGTTCTTCCAGAAGAAAATCAAGCCATCAAACAGTACCAAGCAATTACATACTCATCTCTCAGCCAAAGTTACCTTTATATTGACTGGACTGAAAACTATAAAGCTTTGTTAGTAGGAGAATATCTGAATGTTATTGTTACCCCCAAAAGTCCATATATTGACAAAATAACTCATTATAATTATTTGGTAAGTACAATAATGATAGATTCATATATATCTATTACCCTACCTGAAACATTTTCCTTTGCTTCTAGAGAAGCATTAGAATTATCCCTTTCAGAACCCAGGGTCTAGAAGGGAGAGTACTGACATGTCATGGGGATGTTAACCAATGTCATTAAACAATATATGTACTAACTGTTTAATGAGAAGCTAGTTTGTTCTGTAAAGCTTCATCTAAAGTACAATTTTAAAAAAAGAATTATCCCTTTCATTTATGCTTACAAAGCACTTTCAAGAACATCATTGTCTTGGTTACACAGAGCTGCTATAACAAAAATAACCACAAGTGAGTGGCTTTAAAGAACAGAAATTTATCTTCTCAAGTTCTGAAGGCTAAAAGTACAAATCAAGGTCTAGGCCATACTAATTCCTTGTCAGTAGCCCTGAGCTTTCCTTGGTTCCTTGGCATTCCTTGGCTTGTAGATGATCCTCTCATGGCATTTGTCTTCCCTGTGTGTGTGTCTGTGTCTATTCTGGTCTTTATATAAGTCAGAAGTGATTAGATTTAGATCCAGCCTAAGCTGGTATGACCTCAATGACATAATAAAAATAAAACCCTATTTGCAAACAGGAACACATCCACAGATACAGGAGTTAGGATTTCAATACGTATTTTGGGGGACATAACTCAAACCATAATAATCATCTTATTTGATAATCAGTTTTTCAAAAACTTTGAGATAGAGTATGATTTTCATAACCATTTCACAGATGAGGAATTTGAGGGACAGAGAGGTTGAAAGACTTGCCATGGTCGCTCAGCTCAAAAGAGGAAGATTTTGATTTGAACTGAGGACCTCTGACTCCTGGTCTGATGATATTCCCTTTCACTAAATACAGCCTCATTACTCCACAGAGAGAGCCTGATTAAATTCTTTTGGCCAAGTCTCACATCAATCTATTACCTCTTCTCTATTTAATGGTCAAAGATTACACGCCTAGGCCTAGTTCAAATGTGTGCATTTCATTAGTGTAAAAGAGGGGACCCAAGAGTTGAATCATATCATACCTGTTCCAATACTACAGTCAGCAATATCTCTATTGCATCATTTATATTAAACAAGCGGTAGATCAGTTAAGCCTGCTGGTGAAACCTAGAAAAGAATGTGCAGAAATTGTTAAAGGCTTCCTGACAATTCTCAAAGAAAAGGAATGAATTATTCCAATGACCAGGCCAAACAGGTGGTGATGGCTTTTTCAACATTTTTGAGGAACAAGTTGAAAAAAATAAATGAAGACCATAGAAAAACATTTACTGATGAAGAATTAGGAGAACCATCTTGGGCTATGTACCAAAACCATGTATATAGTCCAGTTCTCTAAGGACAATTTAAAGAATCTTTGAGGACATTTTAGCTTACTGAGATTTATCCTTTTTAACCTTAAACATTCGGTTTAAGACTTAATTCCCAGATAAGATGTACTTATCTATTTTTTTAAATCAATGAAAGGGAAGAGGTTTCAAGGACAGTGTGACAACTTTATATAGATCTGCATTCAGATTTTAGCTTTCTAATTTCCTAGTTACGCGATTTGAACTAAAACCAGTATGACTTTTAGTTAGTTCCTGAGCCTGTTTCTTCAACTGCAGAATGATAGTAATATTCCTATATCACTGGTTTATTGTGAGAATTAAAGGAGTTAAATAATTGTAAAAGTTTCTGTCACATATTAGGCCCATAAGTGTAAACTTTATTTTTCTTTAACATAGTTTCTGCCCCAGCTCCAAACTCCGTTATGAAGCACAGGTTTTGTTTTTGTAGTTAATGTTGCTGCCACTGTTTATTTTTAGATTTTGTCCAAGGGAAAAATTGTACACTTTGGTACAAGGGAGAAACTTGTAGATTCATCTTATCAAAGTATAAACATTCCAGTGACGCAGAACATGGTTCCTTCAGCTCGTCTCCTGGTCTATTACATTGTCACAGGAGAGGAGACAGCAGAATTGGTGTCGGATTCAGTCTGGTTAAATATTGAAGAAAAGTGTGGCAATCAGCTTCAAGTAAGTCACAAAGTATAAATCACAATCTGATTTTCTCCTGAATGAAGGAGGCTGTAAATGTCTGTAAAAAGTTTTGTCTCATACAGATGACCTTTTCTTTTCTTTTTCAAATGACCTTTTAGGTTCATCTATCTCCAGATACTGATGTATATTCTCCAGGCCAAGCTGTATCTCTTAATATGGCAACTGAGTCAGATTCGTGGGTGGCTTTAACAGCAGTGGACAGTGCTATATATGGAGTCCAAAGAACAACCAAAAAGCCCATGGAAAAAGTTAAGTAGTGCCTTGCTGTGGTTAAGGTGCATGGCATGGCTCAGTGCAGTGATTTATAAACTGTGGCCACCAGGGTAGGTTGTGAAGGAAGAATTAAAGAAAAATGTTTTCCACTTGCTACCTAGTCGATTCCGACTCATGGCAACTCCATGTATGTCAGAATAGGACTGTGCTCCACAGAGTTTTCAGTGGCTGATTTTTCAGAAGTAGGCCTTTCTTCCAAGATGCCTCTGGGTGGACTCAAGCCACCAACCTTTCAGTTAGTAGTTGAGTGTGTTAATCATTTGCAGCACCCAGGGGCTGCAAAGGAAAACTAGGTCTACTTTTCTATAATCTACTCAAAACATTGGTTCTTAGAAAGGTAAGTCATCCTCATGTTAGTTCCCAAAGCACAGGTCAGTCCTTTTTTGTTTTTCCAAGTACGGATAAGCACATGGAAAACCTTGAAAACATTGTGCTGAGTGAAATTAGTCAGACACCAAAGGACAACTACTGTATGATCACACTTACATGAAATATCTAGAACAGGCAAATGCATAGAGACCAAAATAAATCAGTGATCACCAGAAGCTAGAGAATTATTGCTTAAGGGGTACTATGGTGTAGAGAATTTAATTTTACCTAAAGTAATGTGGTCTTACCCTGTTTCCTGAGGGATAACTCTAAACCCTTGGAATTTCTTGAATAATTGAGATGCCTTTGTTAATCTAAACAACACCTGGTGTCACCTAACCTCAGGAGGCATGATTTGACCTATTATGCATATGCATGCAATGAGGTCTCAATCATGATTGAGACCAGTATAGGTTCAGAACTCGGAGGATCCAAGACCTTCCTGGTTAGCAAGGAGAGGGTGATGCATCCTTTTGGGGATATGCAAGCTCCAAGTTGGCAACCCTCCAAGATCTCACCCATACATCTCTTCCTTTTGATGATAGTGGTTTGTATCCTTCTGCTATAATAAATCTGTAATCATAAATATAGTACTCTCTGTGAGTTGTGTGAGTCATTCTAGTGAATTATCGAACCCAAAGGAATAGTGGGAGCTAGCAGGTGAAAGTGAGGGAGCAAGGGGAGACCCCCAAGCTTACAGCTGGCATCTGAAGGGGCAGTGGGAAAACCCAGAATTAGTGGCCAGCAGGCCAGAAGCAAGGGTATCATGTGGACCCCCAAGTTTTGCAGTTGGCATTTACTTGTTTGACAGTCCGAAGAACATGTCCTTTTAACTTGTGAGCTCTGATCTAGCTCCACGTGGCTAGGGACAGAAAGAGAGAGTACTATGTTAAAGATGATTGAGAAGTTGGGAAGTGGGTGTTTGATTTATCTTCACATTTTGGGAATTGGATTTACATTGATTATTATCCTTAAAGGTGCTAAGTTTCTGTTTGGGATGATGAAAAAGTTTTGGAAATAAATAGTGGTGATGCTTATACAACATTATAAATGTAATTAATGTTACTGAATTGCACACTTAAAAATGGTTAAAATGGCAAATTTTATGTCATATGTATTTCACCACAATAGAAGAGGTCAATGACATATATCAAAATAAAAACAAAAAAAGCATAAGGCAATGATAGCAATTTGGGAATGCTGGGAATTATTTTTTGTTTGTTTTATTGTAGCAGTACAAGAGGAGGCTGGATAGGTAACCTCTGGGTTTGTTTATTTATTTTTTATTCTCATTCATATCTGTAGGGCAAAAGAACTTGGAAGTGGTTCAGCTCCCATAAGTTCCCATTAATCTCCACTACTCTGAGCTACTATTTTCTAGGCTTTAAGTTATTTGAACAAGAAAGGAAAAATGTGAAATTGTGAAGTTAAAAACATTCAGAGAAGAAAGAACATTCAGGGGTCAAGATCAAAACTGGAATAGCCCCAAGTTCTCACCCAGTTAGGATCTAGACCCCTCCCCCAAAAGATCACAAGAGGTTGTTCTATTTTTAGCAATTTAAAAATTGCTTTGTTTATTAAATCACCATTCATGCATTCACCCATTTATTCATTATTTTTTGGACATTATATTGATTGCAGTATGCATTCTCTGTACAAAATAACATGGGTCAGTTTCTAAGAATCCCCTCATCAAAGCTATTTGCTTAAGATTTAGTTTTTTATTTAATTTTGAATAGGTATCTATTTATGAATATGCAAAAGGACAAAACTAAAGAAATATAGTTGGCAAGACTGGGAAATTTGGTTTTTGGTAATTTGATAGAGTGGCCTGTGTATTCCACAGGTTTGTTATAACCGTGTAACAAGTAGTATGCTTTGGAGGAATGACTTATACATTTGAATAGGCTCAACATTTTTCCTTTCTGGACAGGTATTTCAGGCTTTAGAGAAGAGTGACCTGGGCTGTGGAGCAGGTGGTGGTCGCAACAATGCTGATGTATTCCATCTGGCAGGACTCACCTTCCTCACCAACGCAAATGCAGATGACTCCCAAGGAAATGGTAAAACATTCAGGTTTAACCAAACATTTTTTATTTTATTTTTCAAATTAATTACTAAAATTTACATTGATAATCTGCCTCCAAGACCTCATTTTTGTCCCTCCTCCAAAACATTTTCTATACTGATCTTAGAATCACATGACTCTGTCACTCCCCTGGATAAAATGTTTCACTGGCCTTCAACATAAAGTATAAATTCTTTAGTGTAGTGCTCAGAGTCTTCCATGATCTTCTACCCACTCTCTCCAGCTTTATCTCTTACCTTGCTCACCTCACCTTAAGTTTAAGCCATACAGAACCAAGCATAGTTCTTGGGTGGCACAATGGGCCTTTCCCCATCAGGACTGTTTTTCCCCTTTATTAATCTGGAGAAGCTAGTGAGAATCATCTCCTCTATGGGGCTTCATCTCCATAGAGGATTAGTCGTTCCCTCCTTTATAGAGACAATACCATAGTGACTATATCCTTTAACAAGTAAAATCACAACAGTGTATCACTGCACATTCTTACACTTCATTACTTATATGTCTTGTCTCATCCACTGCACTGTGAGCTCTTTGAGGGCAGGGACTACATCTTAATTATCTTCTTTCTATGGTTTTAAAGCTGTTCATAAGTACATTTGGTACTATGGCATTCATGTTTATATTTGTAATAATATATCACAAAGAGCAAAAAATAAAAACAGCATACACAACAAAAGCTTTGCTCACTCTAAGTGCTTTACTCTCTATAATCAATGGATCAGAGAAGTTGTAGGGTTCAAACCCTAACTCAGATCAAAAGAGTCAAACTAGATGACACGAGACCGTGAGCTCCACTCAGATAAAACAAGTCATAGTCAGATGTGTGGTGCACCAGGCCTAATCCAAAACAGGATCTCAGTATTTGCTGAACGAATGACTTGGAATACTTTAAATACTTAAATAATTGTGTGGAAATGGTTTTGTTTGTTTGTTTTTAGATTTTCTCCCCTTTTTTCCTTTTTCTTCTTCTTTGTTTTTACTTTTTTTTTTCTTTCTTTTTTTTTTTTGTTTAAACAGATGAACCTTGTAAAGACATTCTCAGGCCAAAAAGAATGCTGAAACAGCTGATAGAGGAAGCAGGTACTCTAAAAGTTTCATGTGATTGGAAAAAAGGTTATGGTCATATCATTCAGGAGCTGAGGAAAATTGAACATTGTGTAATTTCCCTGAATTCAAATATAGTGGGTGAAAAGAAGATATGTACAGATGCCTAGCTCACTTCCCTCAGAAAGATTTATCCAAATGAATCGAATAGCTCATTTGTTGTTGTTAGGTGCCATCGAGTTGGTTACGACTCATAGCGACCCTGTATACAACAGAAACACTGCCCAGTCCTTCGCTATCCTCACAATCATTGCTATGTTTGAGTTCATTTTTGCAGCTACTGTGTCAATCCATCTTGCGTTGAGGGTCTTCCTCTTTTTCGCTGACCCTCTACCAAGCATAATGTCCTTCTCCAGGGACTGGTCCCTCCTGATAACCTGTCCAAAGTATGTGAGACGACGTCTCGCCATCTTTGCTTCTAAGGAGCATTCTGGCTGTACTTCTTCCAAGACAGATTTGTTTGTTCTTCTCGCAGTCCATGGTATATTCAATTTTCTTTGCCAAAACCATAATTCAAAGGCATCAGTTCTTCTTCAGTCTTCCTTATTCATTGTCCAGCTTTTGCATGCATGTGAGGCGACTGAAAATACCATGGCTTGGGTCAGGCGCACCTTAGTCCTCAAGGTGACATCTTTGCTTTTTAACACTATAAAGAGGTCTTTTACAGTGGATTTGCCCAATGCAATATGTCATTTGATTTCTTGACTGCTGCTTCCATGGGTGTTGATTGTGGATCCAATTAAAATGAAATCCTTGACACCTTCAATATTTTCTCCATTGATCATGATGTTGCTTATTGGTCCAGTTGTGAGGATTTTAGTTTTCTTTATGTTAACGTGTAATCCATACTGAAGGCTATAGTCTTTGATCTTCATCTGTAAGTGCTTCAAGTCCTCTTCACTTTCAGCAAGCAAGGTTGTAACAACTGTATATCACAGGTTGTTAACTAGTCTTCCTCCAGTCCTGATGCTGCGTTCTTCTTCATATAGTCCAGCTTCTTGGATTATTTGCTCAGCATACAGATTGAATAAGTATGGTCAAAGGATACAACCCTGACACACACATTTCTTGATTTTAAACCACGCAGTATCCCCTTGTTTTGTTCAAATGACTGCCTCTTGGTCTATGTACAGGTTCTGCATGAGCATAGTTAAGTGTTCTGGAATTCCCATTCTTCGCAATAGCTCATTTGCCTAGCCTTAATCTGAGGAAAATACCAAAACACATTGCAGTCAAGTCAATTTTGACTCATGGTGGCCCCAGGTGTTACAGAGTAGAACTGAGCTCCATAGGGCTTTCTTTCTTTCTTTTTTTATTGTGGTTTAGGTGAAAGTTTATAGCTCAAGTTAATTTCTCATACAGAAATTTATACACATATTGTTATGTGACATTGGTTGCAATCCCTATAATATGACAGGACACTCTCCTTTCTACCACAGGTTTCCCGTGTCCATCCAACCAGCTGCTGTCCCTTCCTGCCTTCTCATCCTGCCTCCTGACAGGAGGCACCCATTTGGTCTCGTGTACCTGCTTGAATGAAGAAACACACTCTTCACGAGTATTATTTTATATTGTATAGTCCAGTCTAATCTTTGTCTGAAGAGTAGGCTTCAGGAATGGTTTTAGTTCTGGGTTAATAGAGCATACAGGCGCCATGGCTTCGAGGGTTCCTCCAGTCTCAGTCAGACCATTAAGTCTGATCTTTTTTTGTTTTCTTTCTTAAATTTTTTTTCTTATTGTACTTTAGATGAAGGTTTATAGAACAAATAGTTTCTCATTAAATAGTACACATACTGTTTTCTGACATTAGTTTACAACCCCACGACATGTCAACACTCTCCCTTCTCGACCTTGGGTTCCCTATTACCAGCTTTCCTGTCCCCTCCTGCCTTCTAGTCCTTGTCCCTGGGCTGTTGTGCCCCATTAGTCTTGTTTTGTTTTATGGGGCTGTCTAATCTTTGGATGAATGGTGACCCTCGGGAGTGACTTCAGTATGAGCTAAAAGGGTGTCCAGGGGCAAGTCTGGTCTTTTTATGTGAGTTTCAGTTCTGCTCCACACTTTTCTCCTGCTCTGTCAGGGACTCTCTGTTGTGTTCCCTGTCAGGCAGTCATTGGTGGTAGCCGGGCACCATCTGGTTCTTCTGGTCTCAGGCTGATAGAGTCTGTGGTTTATGTGGCCCTTTTGTCCCTTGGGCTAATATTTTCCTAGTGTTTTTGGTGTTCTTCATTCTCCTTTACTCAAGGTGGGTTGGGACCAATTGATGCATCTTAGATGGCCGCTCACAAGCTTGTAAGACCCCAGATGCCATTCACTAAAGTGGGATGCAGAACATTTTCTTAATAAACTTTGTTATTCTAATTGACCTAGATGTCCCCTGAAACCATGGTTCCATAGAGTTTTCTTGGCTGTAATCTTTATGGAAGCAGCTCGCCATGCCTTTCTTCCATGGCGCCACTGGGTGGGTTCAAACCATTCAATTAGTAGCTGAGCAAAAACTGTTTGCACCATCCAGGGATGTCTGAGGAAAACAGGTCTTTATTATTTCTGTCTCTAAAATCAAGAAGATTAACTTTTATTTGTCATAAAAATTTAATGACAAAATCCATGATTTGATTAACTTGGAATATACCTAGAAATCTATTTCTTCTATTTCATGTATTAACAGTTAATAGCATTTTGGATTATTCTTCAGGGAACAAGTCTAGTTTAATAATTAAACAAGTCTTGATTGTTTTTTAATAATTAGTTAAATACTAATATGAAAATTGGCCATGTTAACTTAAAATAGAAAGAACACTGAACTAGGAATCAAGGATTTGAGTCCAACTAATAATCATATTCAGAGTAATGTAATAATTCCTCCCATTTGTATATGAGTTGTACTAATTCTAACCTTCACTCTAAGATAATGATATGAAAAGAAATATGTTAACTTGAGCACATACAATGAAGGATGCCAGTAGTGAAGAACCCACAAACCATGTCATATAAGAAATATTTTTTTAAAAAATAGGCTATTTAGCTTCAAGAAGGAAATACCTGCTGCCATCGAGTTGATTCTGACTCATAGTAACCCTATAGGACAAAGTAGAACTGCCCCATAGGGTTTCCAGGGAGAGGCTGGTAGATTCAAACAGCTGACCTTTTGGTTAGTAGCTGAACGCTTAACCACTGTGCCACCATAGCTCCGTAGTGATGATAACGATCTTCAAATAGTTAAAGGCTCTCATATATGTAATGTATTCTACTTAAAGAAGACTGCTGAATCAACGTGCCAGTTTGAAAAGTTAGTATTTAGCTTAGTTGCAGGAAGCCCTTTAACCATTTAGTGTAAAATGGAGTGGATTTCCTAATAGATAGCATTCTCCCCACTCCTAGAATAGTTCCAAGCAGCGGCTGAGCCATCAACTAGTCATAGCTATTATGGGAAGGGGTCGTGGGTCAGAAGAAACCAGGTATCCTTTGAGATCCTTTCTAATCCTGAGATGTTATGACTCTGTGCATGATCAGGTACGCTTGTGTTATTACCATTTCAGCTGCTAAATACAAACATGCAATAGTGAAGAAATGTTGTTATGATGGAGCCTCCCGTAATGATGATGAAAGTTGTGAGCAGCGAACTGCACGGATTACCCGAGGTTCAAGATGTGTTGCAGCTTTCAATGAATGTTGTAGCATTGCAAAAAAGTTCCGTGATGACAACTCTCATAAAGATATCCAATTGGGAAGGCTACGTAAGTTTGACATTTTCTATCAAAATTCTGCCTAATACAGGGAATTTTGTGGAATTTTATGCTGCTAAGAAAGGGAGCTTTCATGCTCTATTTAAAAGTGAAAGTAGAAAAAATAACTTGCAAATGCGTGTAAGAAAAAAAATCTGTTATCATTTTTGGGAATTCGAAGACGTAGAGTACAGAGCAGAGTGTCCTAGTCCAGAGTCAAGACCCAGTACAAGCTTTACAGCCAACTCATTCTATAAAATTGAACGATGATTTATCATCTCTGATTCTCAGTCTCCTCATTTTTAAAGCAAGAAGCTTGGACCAGATGATCTCAAATATGCCTTTGAGTTCTAAACTTTTATGGTTCTGTGAAATTACAATTACCGAAAATTCTGTTTATACCTACACTAACTAAATATAGCAGAAAATTTATAAGGTTAAGTGTTTTTATATAAACAAATGAAATCTTATTTCTGTTTCAACCACAATGTATATTTTCAGAATCTACAGAACTCTCATTAATTAAAAACTTTTAGACTTTCCTTTCACACACACACACACGTATACCCCCCATACATATATATATATATATATATATACACCCACAAAACAGAAGCAGAATGACAGCTCCTTTTTTATAATCTGATTGTTTTGCTTAACAGTATACTTAAACATTGTCTGTATCAGTGAATATGTTTCTAAAAACATGATTTTTATGGCCATTTACCAAAACCATGCTATCAGATATTTAGGTTATTATCAAGTTTTTGCTTATTGTAAGCAGCACTTTAATGAGAAACCTAATTCATGTATTTTTCACTGTCTAAAGTTTCAAGTATAATCATCTGGTTTGGTTTCAGCTGCATGTTATTGAAATATTATACTATGGAAATATTCTTGTATCATACTAGAAGAGGCTGTTTTTTTAAATTAGATTTTCTGAAGTATAATTTATATATAATAAAATTGCCAATATTAAGTATAGAATTCAGTGAGTTTTGACAAAAATATACAGTTGTATAACCACCACCGCAGTCATGATGTAAAATACTTCCATCACTCCCAAAGCGTTACTTCATGCCCTTTGCAGTCCCTACCTCTGGCCCTGAGAGTCACTAATCTATTTTCTGCCACTATAGTTTTGCCTTCTCTAGAATGTCATATAAATGGAATCATATAAGATGTAGACTTCTGTCTCTGGCTTCTTTCACTTAGTATAATGTTTTTGAGATTCATCTACATTATTACATGTACTAGTAATTCATTTCTTTTTATTGCTGAGTAGTATTTTATAGGAAGGATATATGACAATTTTTTTATGCATTCACCAGTTGATGGACATTTGGGATGTTTCCAGGTTGGGGATATAATGAATAAAGCTGCTATGAACATTCAAGTACAAGTCTTTGTGTGAAGATATGTTTTTACTTCTCTTGAGTAAATACCTAGGATTAAGATTATTGAGTCTTTGGGTAACTTATGTTTAACTTTATAAGAAACTACCAAACTATTTTCCAAAGTGGTTAAACCATTTTGCATTCCCAGCAGCAATGTATGAAAGTTCCAGTTTCTCCACAAGCACATCAACACTTGGTATTATCAGTCTTTTTAATTTTAGCCATTCTACTGGGCATGTAGTGGTATCTCACTGTGGTTTTAATTTGCATTTCCTTGATGACTAACGATATTGAGATTATTGTTCATTATCTAACGAACATCACATCACTTTGTAATATGTCTGGTAAAATATTTGGCCTTGAGTGGTTTCCTCTTAAGTATGCACACATAAGTACTAAGCCAAAGACTCAGTGGGTTCCCTCTGCAAATCTCTGGAGCTCACTCTGTGCAGCTCCCTTCTTGCTGGTACTCTGCCCCTCATTTTAGACACCTTGGTCTCCCAAAACTTCTTCCTCTGTCACTTCAACTCAGGAAGGCCACCAGGCTCTGCTTAAGTTCCCCTCCCTCACTTGAAGCCTGTAAACTGCCTTCAGGAAGTAAGCTGGGACAATGTTAGAGTTTACCTCATTTTTCTCCCTTCTCTCAGGGATCACAGTCCTGTGTGCTTATGTTCTAACATCTGAAAACTGTTGTTTTATATATTATGTCTGGTTTGGGGTTTTTTAAGGTGGAAAGGTAAATCTAGTCCCTGTTAGTCTCTCTTGGACAGAAGACGTTCTGTCTACTTTTATTAAAGTAAATGTAAATAAATCTCTGAGTTGAGGAAGAGAATCACATAAAACCTCTCTATTTTATAATGTATACACAGTTATTGCAATTATAAAAATGTAAATGACTTTATAGACTGATTAGTGTATTATATAATCTCAGGAACATTAAACATTTAACAGTATACAAACCAAATCATTAAAGGTATCTGTATACTTATTTTATTTGTCAGTGCTATTAGTGAAGAAATCCAAAGCCTCTATAGTTGTATTTTGATATCTCAAAACAAAATGTTTCATTATAAATTTCAAAACCTTCCAGAAAATGCGTAAGTTATAGATTAATAGCCATATTTTAAAACTCAGCTATAAGTAGAATTTATGTTGTTTTTCCACAATTAAATATACATTTTTCTCCAGAAATAAAGACCCTTTTATCAGTAAGCAAGCCAGAAATTCGAAGCTATTTTCCAGAAAGCTGGTTATGGGAAGTTCATCGTGTACCCAGAAGGTATTATGCTTCTTTGACATTCCTCTGAAAAAATGTGGAAACTTGCAAATATTATGGCCAAAAATCTGGATACTACTCATCTCCTAATAGTTTGAGAGTTGAGATGATGCTACCATTTGGTCAAGTTTTTTGTTTTGTTTTCTGTAGTAATTGCTTCCAAGGCAGGATTAACTATTGGTAAACAAGGATCCTATTCCATGTAATTTCATTTCACTTCAAAAAGTATTTACTGAGCACAACTGTGAGGACCCGGTGGTGCAGGTGTTAAGCGTTTGACTGCTAACCAAAAGGTCAGCAGTTTGACTCCACCAGCCACTCCTTGGAAACCCTATGGAGCAGTTCTACTCTGTCCTATAGGGTTGCTATGAGTTGAAATCAACTTGACAGCAATGTTTTGTTTTGTTTTTATGTACTATACACTGTATTAAGCACATATTTCATGCTAAAATATCTGCTCTATAAAATAAACATTGATTAATAAAAGGTTCTTTTCTTGTTAAAGTCCTTCACTCAATACATTTTTATGGAATGCCTACTCTGTAGCAGACACTGAACATAGTGATAAACAAGAATGAGTCCCTAAGCATCATCTTTCCTAGGCAGGCTCAAAGAAGCAACTTTGCAATGAACAGTCAAGGCACTGAGTCCAGAGCCTTGCAGGAGCCTCCAAATAGGTCTCCTTGACTCTACCCTTGTGCCTCTTTAATTCTTCCTACACTGTGTTGTCCATTTCATCTGACATTCCCCTCAGCTAGCACATCCTCTGGTAAGCTTTCCCTGGCTCCCTCTCACCCCACCACTGACCCTCACCTCCACCAATGATTGTATTAATTATACCTCCCAATAGCACCCTATTCTTAATCCTGTTGCATTTATCACACAGTGTTGTAGTGGCCTGTTTATCTGTCTGTCTTCCATATTAAATTGTAAATACTCGATGGCAAGGACCAAATTCAGATTACTATTTTATATCCAGGACCTGGCATAGGACCTGGCTTGTGGAGGCACTAAAATAAATGTATTGAATGAATGCACACTGCCTCTCAATTTTTTTAATGCTTTATTGGTACAGGTATTACAGTGAATTTCAATTTATTCACTTAAGTATTTCTTCCACTGAACTGTAAGCTGCTTGGGAGCAGGACTATGTCTTATAAGTACTGTATACTCAGTGCTTAGCGCTATGTCTGGCACAAAGTTGGTGGCCAATGCTGTCTGTTGAATGAAATATGTAAATATAAAAGCTTATTTTCAGTCAGAATTTTTTTTGTTGTATCAACTTTGTTATAAGAAGTGTTAAGATGTAGTTTTTAAAGAACATAATATACAATGAATATAATTTTTCTTTGTGTTACACATTTTGATTTGCAATGTTTGAAAGACCTCATTCTGAATATGAACTCTCATCAAGCAGGTACAATGTCTAAAAACATGGAACATGTAGAAGTACTGAATATATTTTTCTTGCTTGCTTTTTCCTTAAAACAGATTTGAGTTTGTCTTTTTGTGATTTGCTTCTTTCTTCTGAAAGTATTATGAAGCAGAAATTCTGTTAACATAGTCTTCTGTCAAGTTTGGTTAATCAATGTTCCACTGTATTTGAATATCAGCATTTTCACTTCCAGAAACCAGTTGCAGTTTACGCTACCTGACTCTCTAACCACCTGGGAAATTCAAGGTGTTGGCATTTCAGATAGTGGTAAGTAAGCTTAACTTACTGTTTTAGTCATCTAGTGCTGCTCTAACAGAAATACCACAAGTGGATGGCTTCAACAAAGAGAAATTTATTTCCTCACAGTAAAGTAGGCTAAAAGTCCAAATTCAGGGTATCAGCTCCAGGGGAAGACTTTCTCTCTCTGTCGGCCTTCTCATCAATCTTCCCCCAGACTAGGAGCTTCTCTGCGCAGGGACCCTGGGTCCAAAGGATCTGCTTCCTGCACTGCTTTCTTTGTGGTATGAGGTCCCCAACTCTCTGCTTGCTTCCCTTTCCTTTTATCTCTTGTAAGATAAAAGGTGGTGCAGGCCACACCCTAGGAAAACTCCCTTTACATTGGATCAGGGATGTGACCTTAGTAAGGGTGTTACAATCCCACCCTAATCCTCTTTAACATAAAATTATAATCACAAAATGGAGGACAACCACACAGTACTGGGAATCATGGTCCAGCCAAATTGATATACACATTGTTTGAGGGACATAATTAAATCCATGACACTTACATACTCATTTAAGGAATGATTTGCTTATCAAGATGTAGTTCTTTGTTATTGGGTATTTAGTTAGTTTAGCCAGGGTTTAAATGGTATTCATTTTTGAAATATTATTTTTTATGCGTCACAAAAAGATTTTTGTATACTCACATCTTTGAACCTATTTTTTCTTTTGCTCTTCTATTAGCCATTACTTTATAAATGCTGATGTCGAATGCCCATTTTCTTTTGCTTTTTCTCAGTGACTGGGAGCTTGGGTAGAGGTAGAAACAGATATGTGCCTTCTCTCCTAGCTGGTGCCCTTATTATTATTTTTATTGTGATAAAATATATAAAATTTGCAGTTTTAATGATTTTAAGTGTACAATTCTGTGGCATTAATTATATTCACAATGTTGTACAACCATCACCACTATTTGTTTCCAAAATTTTTCAGCACTCCAAACAGAAACCCTGTATGCATTAAGCACTAACTCCCCATTCTGCCCTCAGCCCATGGCAACCATTAATCTACTTTCTGTCTTTATGCATTTACCTATTTTAGATATTCCATATAAGTGGGATCATACAATATTTGTCCATTTGTGTTTGGCTTATTTCACTTAGCATAGTGTTTTTAGGGTTTGTCCATGTTATACCATGTGTTAGAACTTCATTCCCTTTTATGGCACAATAATATTCCATTGTATGCATTTACCACATTTTGTTTTGTTTATCCATTCATCTGTTGATGGACACGAGTTTTTTCCACTATTTGGCTACTGTGAATGATGCTATGATGAACATTGGTGCACAAGTATCAGTTTGAGTCCCTGCTTTCCATTCTGTTGGGTATATACCCAGGGGTGGAATGCTGAGTCATATGGTAATTCTTTGTTTAACTTTCTGCTTAACTGCCAAACCTTTCATAGCAGCTGTACCATTTTACACTCCTACCAGCAATGGGTAAGGGTTCCTTTAATTTTTCCACATTATTCAACACTTGTTATGTTCAATATTTTGTATAATAGCCATTCAAGTATTCTAGGGGGTGTGCAGTAATATCTCACTGTGGTGGACTAATCTAATGCTCTTTTGTAGTGACAGTGCAGATATTTTACAAATAGCTTCAGAGTTGGTTTTGTTTATTTGTTGTTTTTTGTTTTTACAAAATCTTAGCTTCCAGAATCAAAATTTTATACCCATTAAATGGAGCCCATAATGAATAGCTTGAAAAGAGGTTTGAAATGTCCATCTACAGATGAATGAATAAACAAAGTATATACATACAGTGGAACATTACTCAGCCATAAAGTGAAACGAAGTCCTGATACATGCTACAGCATGGATGAACCTTGAAAACATTATGATGAGTGAAATAAGTCAGTCATAAAAGGACAAATACTCTACGATCACACTTATATGCATTAGGCACATGTATAGAGATCAAAGCTTATTAGTGGCTACCAGGGTAAAGGGCGAGAGGCGGAGTCATTGCTTAGGGGGCACTGAGTTTCTGTTAATGGTGGTGAAATAATTTGGAAAAGGATAGTGGTAATGGCTGTACAACATGATGCATATAATCAATGGCACTGAATTATACATGTAAAAATTGTTGAATTGGCAAATGTTTTGTTATATATATTTTTGTCACAATAAAAAAAAAGAGATCTGGTGCTTTAGCTGATAAATGTTTTCATGGCTATTAAATATTTGTTGAATAAATGAAATTTTCTGTTAATATCAATAATCAACAAAATAAAGATCTATGAGTAGAAAATTCAAGTACATGGTGAAATAATGCAGAGAAAAACATGATCTAATTTTTTTTTTACTTGAAGTAAAGCAAATGTGAGATATTCTAGTGCTAATAAAGTATTATAGGAAACCCCTAATATATTTCTACTTTCCTTTCACTTCGGGTTGAAGGTATATGTGTTGCCGATACTCTCAAGGCAAGGGTGTTCAAAGATATCTTCTTGGAAATGAATATACCATATTCTGTTGTACGAGGGGAACAGATCCAGTTGAAAGGAACTGTTTACAACTATAAGACTTCTGGAATACAGGTAAGTAGGTATTTATGGTATGTTAAAATAAATGGGGAAATGAAAAGCAGAATCCTCTGCTTTTCTGAGAATTCTATTAGTGGAATTATTGCACACAAAAATAAAAGTTTAACTCAGTTCAGCAATATAAACTAGTCACTTACAATGAGTATTATCCCATAAAATGTTATTAGAACACAGCCACAATCATTTGTTCAGATATTGTCAATTGCAGGGTTGAGTAATTGCAACAGAGACTATATGTGGCACTTCCACTGCTTTGCACTGCTGCTCGGAGCATTACAAATTATACTGGCACAATTTTAACTCAACAGCATTTTAAGCATCATCCATATTGCCATACCGTGACATTTTATTTAATTTTTTATTATCAGTGCATTTCTATCAGATCAAAATAAGAAACAAGAACATCTGTGATATCTCAGGGTTAGTCTCCATTAATTACCTTTCCTCTTGAGTATGGGTCACACTTTCCTATTTCATCATATCTAGCAATTTTGGATTGAACTTTGGACTTTACTAGTGAATGCTATAGAGACTCTGGATTCTATTATGTTCCTCTGAAGGGCTTTAATTTTTGTTTGTGTATGCGTTTGTGTTTTACCAAACAGTTAACTTGGTTTAACTCAATCCCAAACTCTGAAATCTCAGTTCAGTTCTGTTAGCCTTCTCTGGGATGATTAGCGTCTATGCCGTGTATGTGTGGTTAGGCGATCAGCCAGACTGAACAAAGTTTATACACAGAACTTGGAGCGCCCTCTCTGAGGCTCTCTCCTTTCTGGGATTTACGCCCTCACTTTTTAGCTATGGTGGTTGCCCTATACTCCGTCGTCTGATTCTTCAAATCAATAAGACAGCAGGTTTCTAGTGGAGATTTAGTCACTCCTCAAGTCACTAGTGGGACCTATCTGCAGGTAAAAAGCTATTAAAAGAAAAAACTCATGCTGTATTTTTCCTTCTTTCAAGTGTTACTGTCCCTTCTATTCTCTAGTGTCTGTAGGTAGGTAGTTTATATATATATATACACACACACACCTATATACATTATATATATATTTTTTGTCCATAGTTTACAGTTATTATTTGCAGAAGAGTTGTCCAATAGGAGCTACTTAGCTATTATTATTTGCAGATGAGTTGTCCAGTAGGAGCTACTTATCTGTTACTGAAAGCAGAACCACTGTCATAGTTTTATTTTTTAATTGTAGAAAAATGCTGTAGATTTTTATTAATATTCTATATCCGTTTCAGAAGTTCCTTTCTATTCCCAATTTACTGAGAGTTTTTATAATAAATTCATGTTGAATTTTAACAAATGACTTTTCTATATCTATCCTTCCCCACTCCATCTCTACTATCCTGGGGGAATCATTGGCTTCAGGGGACCCACTAGACTTCTCTAGCTGCTCTAGCATCTGCCCTACTCATTCAAGGTGGGTGTTGTATTTCCCAAGAAGATAGTTAAGAGGGAGAAGAAAGTTTCCATCTTTGAAAAATTCCTCAACATGAGTTGTTGACTGTTGGCACTCCTTGTTTTCTTGCTTGATTTGGTCTGGATCTTATGGGTTTGTTCTTTTGGGTACACACTCAATTCTGTCAGCTCAGTAGATTTTTGAGAGAAGAGAAAAAATATTCACTGTTTGAGTCAGAAGTCAATAGGTACTATTATTATTTCCATTACAAAGATAAGGAAATGGAGGATTGGGGAGGTCATACAACCTGCTCCCATCACACCGATTAGCACAAGACAGAGCCAGGATTTAAACGCAAGTCTTAGTGGTGCTGGAGTTTAGTTATAAAATAGTGTACAAGTTGGAAGTTAAAGACAGATAAGACTAGTTGGGGACATACTGGGCAGGGCCTTGAATGCTAAGCTGCGGAGTTTTCAGTCTTTCATAAAACATCTTTTATTGAATACCAGAGGCTGAGCTAAAGATAGGAAGATGAATGAGACACATAGAATACCTGAGCCCAAGGCTCCCAGCATCTAAAATACCAACATATAAAGAGACAAATCACAAACATGTAAAGAGACAGTGTAACCACTGCTGTCACAACAATACGCACAAAGAACTACAGAAGCACTGCATCTGATTTATTAACAGTCTAAGGACGGTCAGACATTTCTGCTGCTAAGCTTTCTAGACATCCCTTCACACTGACAAGCTGTACAGCAACTTTGGTGTGTGTTTTAGAAAGTCAAAAATGAGCTTTCTTCAAAGACTTAGAGCCTAAGAGATTACTTTAACACATTAAAGCACCAGTGGAGAGTTCATGTCCAGATGACCGTGTTGGTGGTGGTGGTGGTGGTTGCCATCGAGTCAATTCTGACTCATGTCAGAGTAGAACTGCTCCACAGGTTTTCTGGGCTATAATCATAACAGAAGCAGATGGCCAAGCCTTTTCTTTCGTGGTACTGCTGAGTGGGTTTGAACCACCAACCTTTAGGTTAGCAGTCGAGTGCAAACCATTTGTACCACCTAGTCAGGCTCAGTGGTTAAGAGCTCAGCTGTTAACCAAAAGGTTGGCAGTTCGAATCCACCAGCCATTCCTTGGAAACCCTATGGGGCAGTTCTACTCTGTCCTGTAGGGTCGCTATGAGTCAGAATCTACTCAACAGCAATGCGTTTTTTTTTTTCAGTCAGGGTAAGCTTTCCTTATTTTAGAGTTAAAGTGTTTTGATATAATTCAACTTGTGATATTTCAGTTTTGTGTTAAAATATCTACTGTTGCGGGAATCTGTACGTCGGGAAGCCCAATTGTTCATCATGAGAGGATAAAGTCCCCCAGATGTCGGCCTCAAAAAGTAGAGGGCTCCTCCAGTCACTTTGTGACATTCAGCGTGCTTCCTCTGGAAGTAGGCCTCCACAACATCAACTTTACACTGGAGACTTCATTAGGAAGAGAAATCTTAGTAAAAACATTACGAGTGGTGGTAAGAAAAACTTGCTTTTTCTGATACTTTTTACAACACAGTTTTCATTCTGAAAAAAAAATGCATGCTATCAGCAACACGAGACACAGAGAGAAAATGATAAGCAAATGTTAACTACTATGGATGGAGGGTATCCCAAATTTTTTTGTACTATTCTTACAACTTTTTTATAAGTCCGAAATTATGTAAAAAAAAAATTTTAAATAATTCTTGCTTATTTTGGAAAGTATGGAAATTTGAAAAACCAAAGAGGAGAAAATAAAAATCACCAATTATTCTCACCACCCTGAGATACCTAATTTTAGCAGTTTGGTGTATAGCCTTCCAGGGTTTATCCCCCTTCCCCCAACACATTCAGAAAGGGTGTCTTGAGAATCTATGTGCCAGAGGTTATGAGAGGTACTAGAGATACAGCAATAAGTAAGACACAGCCCTTATATTTAAAGAACTTACAATTTAGAAAAATCCCCATTTTATAAATGAATGAACAGGCCAAAAAAAAAAAAAAAAAAGAAGAAGAGAAAGAAAAGTCATTTATCAAGTAACATTTACCCACACTCTGTTGAGTGTTTTCATGTTATCTTATTAAGAAAGGTCAAATGACTTGCAAAGAGTCACATGACTAGTTAATGACAGAGCTAGACCTTCCTAATTCTTCATTCTCTGAGTTCTGTTTACAGCCATTAAATTCACTTCTGTAAACAGTTATTGACTCCTTTTGTGCAAGACACACTCCCATGCATCCTTGCACCGTGGTTCCATGCACAAACTCTAGAGCCAGGCTGCCTGTGTTTGAATCCTGGCTTTGCCACTTCCTACCAGAGTGTGACACTGGATAAATTATTTGATCTCTCTGTGTATCAGTTTCCTCATCTGTCAAACAGGGGTAATAATAGTACTTCCCTCTTAGGTTGGTTTTGTGGTTAAGTGAGCTAATATATTCAAAGTGTTTAGACCAATTACCTGGCACATAATAACATCTGTGGAAGTGTTTGCTCTTATTATTATACAGATAACCAGAAATCTCATTCCTGCATGTATGTATGTAAGTATTTATGCATACTTTGCCTTTCCAAAAAAGGGATTTTTTTTAATTGGAAAAATGGTCAAGAAAAGTTGATCCAAAGAATTCAGGTTATATAAATTTAGTAACTTAATGTTTTCTGCCTTTATTTTAGCCAGAAGGTGTCAAAAGGGAAAGCCATGCTGGCATTACTCTGGACCCAAGGGGCATTTATGGTAGGCAAAATGATTTTGTATTTTATATGTTGCCTTTTTAATAGAAATTAAATCATATATGTAAACTGAAACACAATTTTTCAAAATGTTAATTATCTAGAATCAGAAATTTCCATTTCTTAGTTCATTGCCATTCTTCATAGCATTTGTTGTACTATAATTTGAATGATTTAGAAAAAAGAAAAATAATTCCATTAACTTTAAATGCAAAGCATTGAAAATTTAATAATCATGATTTCTCTTATGTATCAGTCACTTTATATCCATCCCAATAATAATTTATAATATTTTCATATAAAACCATCCATCCAAAGACCACTTAAGGAAAAGTCATTCACATAATTATTTAGCACTCATTACTTGGAAACACAATAGAACTGATTACTCCTTTAACAAACCCAGACAACCTCACTCCTGCTTCCTTGCTTTTACTTCAATTGAGGTATTCTGAACCTTCTCAAAGTTAGAAGTTTGCAAACATTTAAGTGCTGAATCAAGGCCTACATACATATGTATTTAGGTAATTTAGAATGTGCTCAGTTAACAATTCTTTTCTTTTCGACAGAAAAAGACAGACTGCTGTGGTTCTTCTCAAATGGTTAAATTTTTTTCTTAATGTTGTATCAAATTATTTTTCTTTCCTTTCAGTGATGTAGCAACAGGAAAAAAGCATTTACTTACAAATCAAGACCACTATACTCACCGTAAGAAGCCTTGGTGACACAGTGGTTAAGAGCTCAGTTACTAACCAAAAGATCTTTGCTTTGAATCCACCAGGAACTCCCAGGAGAAAAAACTTGGTGATCTGCTCCCATATGATCTGTTCCCATAAAGATTACAGGCTAGGAAACCCCATGGGGCAGTTCTACTCTGTTACAAAGGGTCACTATGAGTTGGAATCAACTTGACAACACACAACAACATAGTCAGAGTGCCATTTCCTCTGGGAAAGCACAGAATTAAAGATTCTTTACATTTTAAATCAGTTGGGCATCATAAACTAAATAAGGATGTCTTCAGTAGAGTAACAAAAAACCAAATCCATATCCATATGCTAACTTCTTTGTCTAATTTTATTTTCACACAGATTTCCTCACAGCCTGTCCATTGTGAATGATTTATGGGGTAGAAATATTACAAGTTTTGGGTTTTTTTGGCCTCCTGAAATAACTTTTAGCCTCCAAGGACCATTGTGTCCTTTGGCTTCTCTTCTTTCTCACCACTCGTGCCTCCTCTGCTGACACTATTGCAAACAGCTTTCCAAAACAGCTCTGTCTTACTCATCCTAGGTGTGAACATCGGGGCCCCAAAATGGGAATGATTTTTATCCCGGAACAAATCTCTCCTGTAAAACTCCTGGTAGAAAAAAGAATCTATGCCTCTTTCCAATCTTGTCATGTGACCTTTTTTCCTTATCCTTTTAAACAACTTAGATTTAGGTAACTTTGTTACTTTCCAGAAAGCTAAATAGGATAAGGAGCCCTGGTGGAGCAGTGGTTAAGAGCTACCGCTGCTAACCAAAAGCTTAGCAGTTTGAATCCACTAGCGGCTCCTTGGAAACCCTACGGGGCAGTTCTACTCTGTCCTATAGGGTTGCTATGAGTTGGAATTGACTCAACAGCAATGGGTTTGGTTTTTTTTGTTTGTTTGTTTTTTGTTTTGGTTTAAATAGGGTAAAGATGACAATTCTTCCCAGGTTATTTCAGAGACTTTATTAAATACTTCCAGTTGCTGTACCAGTATGATACTTTATTGAATTAGGTTTTAAAAAAATGCATTTGGAAAAGTAAATGGACAAGGGAGTTCCAGTCAATATGGCGCCTTAGATACATGCACTGTAACGACCCCCTGACAACAAAGACTCAAGAAACTAAGTAAAACAGACACAAAAAACCACCTCGAATACCAGAACATCAAATGGAGAGTTCAGAAACAGACTGAGCACGAATTGGAAGGAGAGGCAGAATGAGGCCAGCAGGAAAACAGATTTGTGGTTCAACTGTGCCCTGCCTGTGGACGCAGAGCAGTGTGGCCATTTTGGGATAGCATTGAACAACAACCCAGAGGTGAGTGAAGAACCCAGGAAAGCAACTGCAAAGAGAGCACAGCTGATGGCAGAGATTCTGTACAAACAACCCTGGAAAGAAACAACAAAGTGGGCTGCCCATGGCCAGGGACAGGGCACCCCTGAAGAGGGGTAGTCTGAGAGTGGTATAGCTTTGAAACAGGGAACCACAGGGAAGTGCCTCTAGAGCAAATGAAACAGACTGAATCATCAGAACCTTAGAAAAGGATAAAGTGTAGACAGGAAGTGCACATTTCCAGGGGAGTAAAGGGGAGGAACAGAGGGGCAGGTGAAAGCTCCAGCCCCTCTGGTGAGTGCAAGAAGGGAAGGAGCTAGGAATTAGTGCAGGGACTGCTTGTTGGTGGAGGCACCCAGCCATTTATATGGGAGCCACCCAGTGAAAAGTCAATCCACAGAATAATAGCTAGACCCCCCCACCCCAGGAGAAGCCCAGTACAAGCAGTCACCCTGCCTGCCATCTGCATTAGCATGTGCCCTGAGGTGCAAGCCAGGCCCACCACCCCTCCCTAAGGTATAGGAAATATGCAAGCCCACTACCCTTCCTTGAGGTACAGGAGCCCCACGTCTTCTCCATCCACCCCAAGCCATTCTACCCACTCGGCATTCCACCCCCACCCCTGCCACCTTGCCTGCTCAGCAACCAGTGGTGCAATTTCCCATGCTACCCATGTGGTGACCAGTGACACACGCACCCTTGTCCTGACCGGCAACTGGCAGTGTGCACAGACAACACCCAACCTAGTGACCAGTGAGAACACTCCCTGCACTCATGCCCAGTGACAGGCCAGACAGACACATCACCTCATCAGCAACGCCAGTCACATCCTGACAAGTGCCATCTGCACTTCTGCCAAACAATGAGCATGGGGATTCTAGTGCCCTCATCCAACATCTGCCCGGCTGCAAAGTCACACATTTCATGCCCAAACAGTTCCCGCAGGCCTTCTGCACTTGCACTGAAACTCCTTGATGCCGCACCATCTACTGATATGCCAATTCATGCATGCCCAGCGAGCCTACCCCGTCCATCTGGGTAGCACTCCCTCACAGCAGATACAGAGACATCCTGCCCTGACCTCCAGAGAATGCACTAACTGCTAGCACCAACCCGGAAGACCCCACAGTCCCACAAAAGCTGTGGAGGGACCCTGACCACCCAACACTTGTCATCCAAAATCAGGGAAAGAACCTGCTCACCTACCTGCACTCAATCCAGTAAGGGAAGATATACGAGCCTAACCACAGAGGACCCACACATGGGTGAGACCCACCATACTCACTAGTGAGAGGAAATCACGTCCAGCCAACAGATACCACCAAAGTCACACCTAGACCAGAACCACAAAACAACAATTAAAATAATACAAAGGAAGAAAGACATTCTAAAGAGAAAGAGAAGAAACAAAGCCCCAGATACATCAAAACAAATATATTTTTAAAAAACAGGAGAAAACAAACATACATATAATCAATAAATAAATATATAAATAAATAAATTAACACTTTAATGTCTCAGAGGTAGCAGACAATAACAAATCATATGCAGAAACAGGATACGATGGCTCAGACAAGTGACAAAAATAAAGGGGCAGAAAACCTTCCTGAGGAATAAAAAGTAATAGAACTACCTGATAAGGAATACAAAAGACTTACATATAGCATCCTCAAACAGATCAAGGAAAACACAGACAAAACCCTAGAAGAATTCAGGAAAACAACACAAGAACAGAATGCTAAAATAAACAGACAACTAGAAACCACACAAAAACAACAACTAGAATTCCAGAAGGTTAACAATAAAATATCAGAAATGGATAACTCAATAGAAGGACATAGATGTAGAACTGAATCAATGGAAGAAAGAATCAGCAAAATAGAGGACAAATCCCTTGACACTAATTTGTTTAAGGAACAAGCAGGAAAAAGAATAAAGAAAAATGAAGACAGTCTAAGATTTATGTGGGACACTAACAAGAGGAATAGTTTATAAATAATAGGAATGCCAGAACAAAAGGAGAAGAAAAAAAAGTACAGAGAGAATTTTTGAAGATTTATTGCATAAAACTTCCCTAATATCATGAAAGATGAAAAGGTTTCCATCCAGGAAGCTCAACGAACCCCATACAGGACAGACCCCAAAAGAAAGTCACCAAGACATATCATAATTAAACTTTCCAAAACCAAAGACAAAGAAAGAATTCTGAGAGCAGCTCGTGAAAAATGAAATATCACCTACAAAGGGGCACAAATAAGGCTAAGTGCTGATTTCTCAGCAGAAACCATGCAGGCAAGAAGGCAATTGGATGATATATATAAAACCCTGAAAGAAAAGAATTGCCAACCAAGAATCACATATCCAGCAAAACTGTCTTTCAAATATAATGGTGAAACTCGGACATTCCCAGATAAACAGAAATTCAGGGAATTTGTACAAACCAGAACAACCTTACAAGAAATATTAGAGGGAACCCTTCAGACAGAGAACCAATGACATCAGACAACAACCTAAGATTAAGACATATGATACCATCACCCAGATACCAACCCAGATAAAGAATTCTCAAAAATAAAATAAAGCTGCATAACTGAAAACAGGGAACCAGAGATGTCAGTCTGTAAATGACGACAACTTCAAACAAAAAGCGGGAATAAATGGTGGTTATAGAACTCCCACATGGAGAGGAAGTCAAGGCGATATCAAGATATGACACACTGTTTTAAACTTAGGAAGATAAAGGTAAATTTCAGAGTAACCACAAAGAAAATTAATAAATCTACTCACCAAAATAAAGAAGAAAATCAAAAAGACTCAGTAAACACAAAATCAACAACATCGAAAGACATGAAAAGAAAATCTATGAACAAAAAGAACTCAGCACAGAAAATTAAGCATAACAAAGAAACTGTTAATGCC